GTTCATAGGGAAGGATTCATGATGGCTCTAATGTTATGTTGTAGCTGTAGCAGCCAGGGATAAAAATGTTGTGGTTGTAGCAGCCAGGGATAATAATGTTGTGGTTGTAGCAGCCAGGGATAAAACTTGTGGTTGTAGCAGCCAGGGATAAAAATGTTGTGGTTGTAGCAGCCAGGGATAATAATGTTGTGGTTGTAGCAGCCAGGGATAAAAATGTTGTGGTTGTAGCAGCCAGGGATAAAACTTGTGGTTGTAGCAGCCAGGGATAAAAATGTTGTGGTTGTAGCAGCCAGGGATAATAATGTTGTGGTTGTAGCAGCCAGGGATAATAATGTTGTGGTTGTAGCAGCCAGGGATAATAATGTTGTTGTAGCAGCCAGGGATAATAATGTTGTGGTTGTAGCAGCCAGGGATAATAATGTTGTTGTAGCAGCCAGGGATAATAATGTTGTGGTTGTAGCAGCCAGGGATAATAATGTTGTGGTTGTAGCAGCCAGGGATAATAATGTTGTGGTTGTAGCAGCCAGGGATAATAATGTTGTGGTTGTAGCAGCCAGGGATAATAATGTTGTGGTTGAAGCAGCCAGAGATAAAAATTGTGGTTGTAGCAGCCAGGGATGATAATGTTGTAGTTGTAGCAGCCAGGGATAAAAATGTTGTGATTGTAGCAGCCAGGGATAAAAATGTTGTGGTTGTAGCAGCCAAGGATAACAATGTTGTGGTTGTATCAGCCAGGGATAACAATGTTGTGGTTGTAGCAGCCAGGGATAACAATGTTGTGGTTGTAGCAGCCAAGGATAACAATGTTGTGGTTGTAGCAGCCAAGGATAACAATGTTGTGGTTGTAGCAGCCAGGGATAACAATGTTGTGGTTATAGCAGCCAGGGATAACAATGTTGTGGTTATAGCAGCCAGGGATAACAATGTTGGGTTATATTTTCTAGTCATGATCACATATCGTCAAGGTGCTCCATCACTTTATGCTTCACCTTCACTGTTATTTAAAATGTTTGTTGTTGTTTACATTAAAGATTGTTGGTTTCTCCTAGTTAATTTTTTATTATATTTGTCTACTTAAACCCCTTCAGAGGGTTGCTCTGATGCCGGTGGGGCGCTCTTGATCCAAGTAATTGGAGCTTTTGTTCTCTTAGATCAGTCCAGATTACCTTCCACAGTGAAGATCTGTATTGCTGTTTACTGTGGCACTTCACTAACCTTCAAATGATACTGACCTTCCATCAAGTTAGTTCTGGATAGTCCAGTTTCCGGCGTATGTTTTGACACCTGAGCAGCAAGTACCTACATACTGCCTCCAGTTATATGATCAGGCTTGGTTTTATCTCTAACACTAGTAACTTCAGACTAGGCTTAGTTGTACCTCTAACACTATTAACGTCAGACCAGGCTTAACTGTGCCAGTAATACTCGTAAACTGGATGTAACTAACCTGGCTTTATCAATTACACTTGAGTGAAGTACACTCCAACACTTCTATTCCTGTAGAGTACACACGTCTTGTATATGACTCGTGAAATCTATAACATGACTGTAACAACTCTCAGAACGGAGATGATTCGAACCCATGGCAAACCAGTCCTAAAATTATCAGGCAAGTGTTCTAACCACTACACTAAGCCAGCCTAAGAAGGTTCATTCAAACAATTTATTTCTATACATATCTTGCCGTGAGTTTGAATCCTATCCGTTCCGTAAGTAATTTCATATGACGAATAAGATACATGTGCTACACTTACGTATGTTTATTGACGAAAAATTTTCTCTACACAAACAGGGATGGAGAGGGGGGGGGGGGTCAGGAAGGAAGGGGCTAGGCTTATTGTTATTGGTAAATGAAGTTATCGATTTTGGAGGAAGGGCTTATGATGACTTCACTGTTTTATGTTGTTGCTGAAAAGAAAAAGAAATAGTTTTCTTAAGAGAGTAATATACACAATAGACTGTGTAAAAGTTACCATCAATGAAAAGCAAGACTACATGGGTGGTTATATATTATTACATTCATGGGGCTCATGTATCGCCTGGTCGCTTGATGGCCTCTAATTACTCGCAGCCAAAAGAACCCGAATCTGATCCTCGAGCGAGTCTAGAAGTATGGAGAAATTTTTTCCACATATGTTGCCCATGCTCACCTAGTATTAAATAGGTAGCCAGGAGTCAGGCGATTGTTGTGGGTCGAATCCTGGGTACGCGGATCGGAAATGAGCCTCACTGATTTGCGTTCTCTTTTCCTGGTTTAATACCCCTCCGTGGTTTATACTCTCTGAGCTTGATAACTTTCCGAGATTAATAACCCAAGTTCCATGGTCAATAATCCAAAAAAAAGTCTTCGCTTTCATTACTGATGTTGTTCTTAGAAAGAGAGAGAGAGAGGTAAGTCATTGGGGAGAGAGTGAAAGAGAAAGGAGAATGAGATAGAAAGGATGAGTTGAGGTCTAGTTGAGACTGGAGGTTAATTGTCACAGGTGAAGAAATGGAGACCTTAAGACAGCAAGTACCTCCAGGTGCTTGCTGTCTTCGTTTAAGTCGATTATAAGGAACAGTGGAAAAAGTACGAGTTATTTGTCGACAGTTTGGGTCAGTGATTCTTGCTGTAGTTACCACTCTTAGAGGTTGACGCAATGGTTGTTATGAGTAGCATTACCAATATAAGCTATTCGTCCGATGGCTTTTACACTGCTGCCTATTATTGTACTCTTGACGTTATGGTCTGTTGTGTACGCCCATTTAACAAATTGATTTACAGTTAAACGATATAGTCTGTTGACGTTGTATGACGTTGAATGACGTTACTTGATAAAGCTTATGACGTTATGATGAGAATCAGCACATCCTCAGCAGCTGGGGGAGGCTGGTAAGCCGGAGAGATCAGGATGTCACTGACAGCCTCGGGCCAGCTATTAGGCTACGATTACCGCCTCGGTGATTGGTGTTGACCTTACGGTGACACCTGGACACTTACATGTGTGACTTTACTTCTACAGTTTATAGGTTGCAGTGTAAGCACATGTTTGTATGAGTACTAGGAAACAAGAATAATAGAAAGAAGTTAACACATAACAGACACTACTGATTTAGAGATGGTAAATCTTATTTAACGTCTTCTAGTAGTCAACTGGCCAAATGTCTTTCAGGACTCATGGATACCATCAGTCTGGCACATCTGAAGTATCCTGGTGATCTGTTCTGCGTCTCCAGTATGAATATAAAACAAATAAGTAGCTTCCTTTATAACAAATCTGGTCGCTAATTTCTGCCGAAGCCGCCAAGACATAATAATCAGATGAAAGATCACTACTGATACGAAACCTTTCACGACTTCGCTAGGTCTTCATAGGTTGGCATAGACGTACTAATCAACATTTTCTTAGAGAACCTAGACACAGGGGTTCCGCTCCATCATTCCCAGTACCATACTCGATTACGATATGTTGATATATCGGTAATCCGTTCAAGTCGCTTCTTTCTCCATGACCATATCAGCAAAATCTACACAAGTCTAGTCCACCAGCAAGTTCACTTTGGAGCTCGATAGAAGGGAAACTCCCCTTCCTTCACGTCCTTCTCTTCAGGACACCAGGCAGTGACACTGCTTCAAAGTGTTCAGGAAGCTCACTTAACAAGGATGACCTGATACATTTTTATTTTCACCACGACACGCTAACAGAAAGTAGTAGTGATCGGCTTCTTTCTAAGATCCCTCCGTATTTCCAGTCTTGAACCTCTCTGACGTCACACAAGCCTTCAACTGTTTCCACTTTTATATTCTTATATGTAGAAGTCTGCTAAATTTATAAACATTTTGAAGGTGTTCGGTTCCTTCTGTGTTGTGACTGTGTCCCGCCTAATAAGGTCTCCGATTGTCGATGAGGTTATGATAGCAACTTCCTTTTTTGTCGGCTAAGTTCAAAATCTTCGTAATAATAATAATATCTTTATTTCTACAAGTACACTTACAAGGTGTACAGGCTTAGCTGACATTAATGACATACTACTTTATAGAAAGCCCCTTGTTATGCAGAACATTTCGGGCAAATTAGGTAAATTTTGTCCCAGGATGTGACCTACACCAGTCGACTAACACTCAGGCACACATTTTACTGATGGGTGAACATGGACAACAGGTGTTTTATGGAAACATCCAAATGTTTTCCAGCCGTACCGGGAGATCGATCCCCGGACCTCAGTGTGTGAACTGAGTGCGCTAGCAATCGAGCTACATGAGAAGAAATGGTTGAGAATTGGTAGGCAAAAACCTGGCAAGCAAGAGCCAGTAGGTCTGTATTGCAGTCCTGAATTATTTTGTTTTTATAAATGTGTTAAGCAAGACCGCTTAGAAAACGCCTAATAGTGTGATTTTAGCCTCCAGGAAATTCGGACATTGTAATCTAAGAACAAGTCTGTTCTTGGAATTGTCTGGTGGGCTTTGACCTCTCGCACATCTGCTAAACTTAGCTTGTTGAAATTAAAGCAATAGTAAGTTTACTTAGGCACAGGTACACAATAGTATAATTATCGTACATAGTGTAAATTATATAGGATAACCCAAAAAAGTAAAGTGACTTATTTCCAGTGTTTACCGAATACTTACAGCTCATTTGTAGTGAGATTACAGACATCTTTAAGATAGGTCTGCCAAGGAGCTATAATTTGCTGAACACCTTAATTAAGGATTAGGCATGTAATTGGTTAGGTAACATGTGAAGGGCTCGTGATCCCCACCGCCCCAGGGACTCCAGCCAACCACTCTCTCTAACGCACTGGAAGTGACGTCATCACCAGGGAATCTCCAAACTAGTCGGTCACCATTATATGATAAACAATATTTAATTTACTCTGTTGCAGAGGGAAGTTGTGTAAAGTAGTTCTGTATATGTTGATATGATCACGTGTATGTGGTATGTGCGTGAGTGCACCAGTCTGTACTGAGATGGAGCGGGTATATTGAGCAATGTTGGAAGGTATATAAAGGCGGCGAGACCGTCCGCAGTCTCAAGTTGACGGTGGTGGTGGTAGAGAGCGGTTAGTGTGTGGGTGTTGTCTGCCGAGTGTTGATACAAGCATCAACAGCGGCGTGACTACTACATCCACTAGGGTGGCTACCAACAAGTCATTCTTGGATTTATCATCTTAATCCCTGGTTGACATGTCGAGTGTGGAGTAAAAGTTAATAAATAAGATATTTGCCCAGTGGCCCTCCGCATTAGATCGCAATGACAGCTAATGGTGGCGATATATTAATGATGTCAACGCCTGTCTTTGTTCCACCCAAGAGGAAGGACTCAATGAGTCCCAGAGCGTTGAAAAGGAAATTCCTCCGCAGAGTTGTAGTGCCCTCGTTATCTCATCTTCCAGCTACCAGCAAGAGCATTAGTGGACAACGTACTCACGAGGTTTCAGGATCTCAGCCAGAGTCATTGGAGAACAACCACTCTTCCCGTGTTCCAGCCAAGAAAAAGAAAGCGAGCAGTCCAGCGATGACAGATTGCAAATACCATGATCAGATTGTTGTGCCGATATTAGCTGTCAACGGAGAGTGTGTTGGAGAAAAATCTGTATATTCACCTGGACCGGAACAGGCGGCGAGCCAGGAAAGATCCACTCACCCTTTGCCACATCAGTCCAACTCACCTATGGTTCTACCTAAGAAGTGTGTGTCTACGTCTAGGTTTTTCAAAAAGAAGAGTGTTAAAACTGATGTTCCAGTAATATCGAATCAAACACCTGAGGGAGAGTACGTTGGGTCACAGACCTTGTTGGAATCTTTTCATAAAGGCAGTGCCCAAGAGAATGGTTTACATCATACCCTAGCAGCTGCTGCGGAGAATGGGGACGAATGTCTTGGTGTTGCACCCAAGAAGAATGAAGTTTCTAAAGATTTAAGAAAGAGAAGTTTCCGCAATATTATTCAGCCGTTAATACCGCACAGGAAAGCAAACGTTAAGTGTACAAGCTCAGAGTCAAAGGGTGAAACTCGTTCGGCCTTCGAACAAGAGTTGGCAGATCAGGAGAACCAGTCTCCCAACGACCCAGAGTTCATGCGGCGGGCATCACAGCGCTGGCAGCGCAAGACAGGCGTCGTAAATCACCAGCCTTTCCAGTACACCAAGTTTGAGTGGCCTACCAGTCCTACCCAGCAGCCAGCGTTCCAGAGACGGGTTTCACCCCAGCCTGTGCACTACATTCCATCTCCCTTCATGACTCCGCCCACGCCTCCCCTCACTGGGACTCCCTTCCGCAGGTCTAACATTCAGTATTCCTCCATGCACGAGAGATCTACAACACCAGAGGAGTCTCCATTTCAGAGATCTGTACGTTCGTACTCTTCTATGATGTTGCCAAATACTTGTCAGAAGAAAAACTCTTGTCTGCACCTTAGTAAGACAGAGAGCTGCAGCGAGAAGTCAGCCAAACCGAAGAAGAGTAATCTTCATGTGGCCTTTATGCAGGAACCATTATCTACTGAAAAGAAGGCTGATTCAGCCAGAGTGAAATGGCCACCTCGTCTTTCCCTGGACGACAGCGTAGCAGAGGAAGTGAGGAGAGTGGCGCGACGGGAGTCACTGCTGATTGCTAGGGAGACGCCATTCCGTCGCCTCAGCGTCAAGATACGCAAGTCTCTGCATGGGCCTAAACGTAAAGCCTCGCAGATAGTGCCATCAGTCACCACCACAGCAGTGCCTACCGTTACCACCTCTGCCTCATACCAGAGCGCCCTGTTCTCCCTCTCGGGTTACCCCAGCACCTCCAGTTTTTACTCTGCATCACCACCCTCATCACCGTTGCTCTCACAGGGACACCTGACCCTGCAGGACATCTTTGTTGCTGAGCCCAAGATCGCGGAAAAATTTGTACGTAGCTTTTCTTGCTATATATTATCATTATTTTGTATATGTATCATTATCTTTACTTTGTTCTATCTCAGATTATTTATAATACGGGGAAACACTAAACCCCTAGGGGCCATAGGAAATGAGGTAATCAGATTTTATCCAGATGAGTGGAGCGTAGCCCCAATTCCTGGGATCGAGGTATTACCCTTGAAAGCTTTTTATCTAGCAGACATGAGAACGAAGAAGCAGACCCGTGTTAAGCTCTCACTTCAGATTGCTACAATTAATTTATCCAAAACTGAAATCCTACGAGATTAAGACTGTAAAAAGCTTTTCATCTTTAGATTACTGAAACATACGTTGCCGTTATATTATTATAATTAAGAGAAAGCGCTAAACCCGTAAGGGTCATACAGCTCCTGGTAATGGGAAGCAATCATGTTGGATCTGAAGAAGGGGAGAAGTCGAATATTTAGATCAAGAAACCTTTGTAGGAATATATAGATCAAGAGCCCCTCACCAGCATCAAGAAACCTTTGAAGGGATATTTTGATGCATCAGTTTAAACTTCTCGACATACAGCGCAACTTTCTTACATGCATGGAATATTTTATTCTCATGTGTGGCATTACGCAGGTTATTTCCTGAATCTCGAAATTAAAGCAAGTCTCGCTTAATGCAGTACGCGCGTGTCGTGAGTTTGTAGTTCATTTAGTTCTTAATTAAGTTGTGGCTATTTTACTCAACGTTATTAAAAGTATAGCACCTTTCTTTCCGTTTACAGAATTTTCTATTATTTCTTGAAAAGGTCTATTATTACATTTATGGGGACTCGCTAAGCCCATAAAGGTCATAGGACGCCCGCCAAGGTGGGAGGCAATCAGATACCATTCAAGGAAAGAGACTAAGCCCAGTTACTTGAATCAAGAGCCCCATACCAGCATCGAGGCAGTTCTTGAAGGAACGAAATAGCCTTAAAATAGACAAGACGACGTTTTAGAAACTTTTTTTTTTATCTATTAACGGAATACTTCGTTGTATCCAGTGTTTGTTAGGCGTCTATGATATTATTAGTGAAAGACGATTGACTGACGTAAGAAACTCGAGTGCAGTGTGAGGAGTGACGTCACTCATCGTCATAAATGACGTCATATTCCAGTTACGGTGTCTTACCTCACAATAAAATGCTAATCGTTGTATTCATTCGAGAGCTCTACGCGTGTATGGGTCATATAGCACCTGGGGAATGGAAAGTAATCAGGTTTGATCCAAGGAAGGTAAAGGTAGCGCTAATCTCTTGGAATCACCGTCATCAATGAATCCCCTCCCCCCCCCCCCTTTCCATGAAGGACATGCCTGGTGTTTAATAATGGTTTTAAAGTGACGATGGTTTAATTTTTAGAAGGAAATGTGAGAGAATTGAGGGATGAAGGATATTAAGCAAGATTGGTATTGCGTGTGCCGGTAAAGGCTTCCTATTTTTTTAAGGGGAAATGCCAGGGACATTTTGTAGCAAGAAGGGCAAAGGGCGAACTGTTGCCTCTTAGTTTAACTTGAAACGCTTGAGAATACGAGGGCTTTTGTCAGTTATAATAATCATAACCAAGCGCTAAACCTGTACATGGCTCTGTCAAAATGTAAGTCGTGAGCTAGAAAATGTATTTTTATCCCCGAGGTAATTATTATAATCAAGTTAAGAGTTTAACCTGAAAGCTTCATACATCCCTAAAGCAAGGATTCAACCACTGTGTACTGGTATATACATTTAATCTCCCTGGTGTATATTCCCCAGTTAATTTCAATCCTTTTGAGAGACAGAAATCCTTACGGAGTTGCGACTCCTCTCCCTCGCATCCTAGACTGACTTAAATGGCATCATTGATGTCTGGCTGCTTGAGATTTAGCATACCTACTCTTAACACGTTAATAGACCATACAATAAGTGTCAGGGGCCCGAGACTGTTCAACTGCCTCCCAGCATACATAAGGGGGATTACCAACAGACCCCTGGCAGTCTTCAAGCTGGCACTGGACAAGCACCTAAAGTCGGTACCTAACCAGCCGGGCTGTGGCTTGTACGTTGGTTTGCGTGCAGCCAGCAGCAACAGCCTGGTTGATCAGGCTCTGATCCACCAGGAGGCCTGGTCACAGACCGGGCCGCGGGGGCGTTGACCCCCGGAACTCTCTCCAGGTAAACTCCAGGTTAACTGTCATATTATTGATGGTATAAATACCGATGAGTAAAACATGTACATTTGGGAATTTTTTTTTATTGCCAAAAAGTTTCGCCTACATAGCAGGGTCCTTCACTCAAATACAGGTAGATATAACACTGGAGACAGTAAAAGTTATTTTGAGATCAGCTCTCAGACTTAGACACATACAGCCAGACCTTATGTACTGGAGTATTATTATTATTATTATTATTATAATCAAAAAGAAGCGCTAAGCCACAAGGGCTATACAGCTTGTACTGGAGTAAAAATAGTTACAATCAAAAACCAAGTGCTAAACCCACGAGGGGTGGAGTAAAAGTGAGGCATAACACCTGGAGCTGACATCACAGGCGAGTGGCGCCCACTAGTGACAAATGGTCATGCTCAGCAGTTTAGCAAAGGAGTTACAGAAAACTGCTCCTGTACAGCTGCCTTCCAGCATATATAAAGGGGGATTGCCAGTAGTCTCCTGGCTGTTTTCAATGTGGTGGACAGCCACTTAAAATCAGTATCTGATCAGCCGGGCTGTGGTTTGTACGTTGGTTTGCTTGCGACAAGCAGTAACAGCCTGGTTGATCAGGCCCTGATCCACCACAGCGCTTGATCACAGACCGGGCCATGGGGGCATTGACCCCCGAAGCCCTCTCCAGGTATACCATGGTGTTGCTGTCAGACAAGTATATTGTTAAGGGGTATATGATTCCAGTAAGTTGATGACTAGGATATATGTGCAACACTTCGGTATCTTCACTGATGAAATGTTTTCCCAGCACAGAAGGCTTCTTCAGTCAAATACAGGTAGAGGTACATATAACAGTGGAGATATTAGTAATTTTGAGGTTATCAGTCCTCAACTTAAAGCACAGGCAGGATGCAGTCAGACCTTGTATACTTGAGCAGAAATGAGGCATAATTTCTGGAGTTGACTATATTAAAATACGTGCATGAATTCTGAAATATACACACTGGCAACTCATGTGTATTATTATTACAGTGGACCCCCGCATAACGATTACCTCAGAATGCGACCAATTATGTAAGTGTATTTATGTGAGTGAGTTTGTACGTGTATGTTTGGGGGTCTGAAATGGACTAATCTACTTCACAATATTTCTTATGGGAACAAATTCGGTCAGTACTGGCACCTGAACATACTTCTGGAGTGAAAAAATATCGTTAACCGGGGGTCCACTGTATTACAATAAAAACCAAGTGCTAAATCATGTGTAGTAGTGTTCCTTGATGCTTGGTATGACTAGCACATGCTTGGTGGATTTCTGCACTCTCCAAACTAGGGTGTTGATTACAGTACTCTCCATGCTTATTGACAGTCAGACAGTTTTTGAAGCAGTACCGAGCTTCCATTTTATTATATTTAGGTGATTGTTCTACAAAATGTATATTTTTCACCTTTTTAAATGAGAAATTCTTATGTAGTTTTGTCTTATCAATTTTTTAAGACTTGTTTTAATGGCTAAACAAAAAAAATCCCTTTCATTTTTTTTCATTTAGGGTATATTTAACAGTGATACCAACTGGGATGCTGAAGTTATTCCTTTCTTACCAAAAATTCTGCTTAAACTTTATTTTTCTCTATTTTTCAAGAAATATTTAAGGATATATTTTAACCATTACCACTACACACAAAAAATGCTAAGCCAATTACAAAAATTTTATGCTCAGTCAGTCCATCCACTCAAGTCACATTCTTGACTAGTTGGGGTAACATACTCTATACATGACATGTTATGTCAATTACAAAGTTCTTTGAGCTCAAGAATGCTATTCAGATATTTGCTCGTCTTGCATATACTAAATTATACCTATCAGCCAAGACTTGCATATAAGAATGATATCGTACTGTGTATTCTTTCCTCCTCATATTACAGTTAATATTTAAATTATCTGTTATTGTAATATTTGTATTAAAACACATGAACTTTTCTAATATTCCTAATAGAAAGCTCTAACTATTGCTCTTTCCCCACACAGGCGATTATGTTCCCAACGGAGCCACGACCGGAGTGGCACCGTCACCTGCGTCATGTCATCCACAAGGCAGGACAGAAGATCTTCAAAAAACCAGAACACCACGACACAAACATCCCAGATAACCTACGCTATCAACTCAAGTATATTTATGTGTATTAGCTGGTGAGCTGACAGGAGTCTGCTAGCCATATCTAGTTGGTTCCTGTTGGCCACAGTGGAATTTCTTCAAGGAGAGTTTGTCAGCCCCCTGTGGAGTCTTTGACCTCTCTGGTGATTACTTGCTGGGTGGAGTGCCCGACATAAGCTTTGGCTAAACCCGACAGTCGACAGACCGGAGCTCAATGAGTTGTTGTCCTCTGTGCCTTGTTAATGTGTAGATCGACACCACTCATGGTCACCTTACTACTTGCCATATTCATGAACTTCATGTATTGAGGCATAATGAGTACTTCATCAGCATCCTCATTCCATGTACCACTTCATCCATCTCTTAGCAAGTTGGTCATCACAATAAGACAATACACATCAATCTCGCTATTATTATCATCATCACAAAAGTCAAACATTCCATAGTGTTGATAACAACATCTGGCAAATTAATTTATATTGCTTCAAACCTTAGTTTTTAAAACCCTGTACACAGTTAACTTCTCCAGCTAAATCACAAGAACATATGATGTTTCGAGTCTTACACTGAGCAGACATACACTAACCATCCTTGACAGACTCTTCTGAAATGTTTGTATAAATTAATGTTATTTTTATGACTTGCCATATTATTTGTTTATTTATGAGTGAATTTAATATATGAGGTTGATCCCAAACCTGTATCCAGATTTTTTAATGTTAAATATTCGACACAAATGTATTTCATCTGACTATATGGATTGAAATGGTAAAGAAAGTTGCCTATTGTAATATTTTATCACTAATGGCAACACTGTACTGCTGCTTGAAATGTCAGTGACACAGTGAAGCTTCTGGCAGTTGAAGACAAGACTAGCTCTTATCAACTGTCCAATGCTACATCTCCACTACACCCAAGATCCCCAGCTAGTGCAAGAGTCTGGTCACAACTATATAGTATTTGGCCAAAGAAGGGACTCTTAAGGACCTGGCACAGGTGCTGTACAGACTGGTCAAGTGTCTTCCAAGTACCAGAGAATGCAGTAGGTCTACTTGAGTTGAACAGAATCATTGTACGCAATAATTAACGTGTTTCTGCAGTGCTTTAATGTGCACAACAAAATCAGCATATGCACATTACTCCATCATTGTTGCTCATAGCTATTAAATACGTCAGTCATCTGTTGGTGTGAAAGTGAACCTTTTTGCACATATGGATTACCATATACAGTACATTACATGTTCACATTACAGTGATTATAATTGTCGTTGGCCGCCTTTGTCAGAAATATGTACCACTTGCCTCATACCTTTATGATGAAATCTAAATTAGCCTGACATATTCATTCAGACATGGAAAATATAGTATTCAAACCTTTAAATGAAGTCCCAAGCTGTTTTTGTAACAAGTATTTAATTAAAAGGACTATCTCTTCTGATAAGAGCTGAAAGGTTGGAAATGGTATGATGATACTGACAAACTGGAAAAGGACACTTGTGTACTGTTCAGGTGATTTATTAAACATTTACAGTTCAGGACATTTATGTTCTAAACTGTGCACACGTGTCCTTTTCCATAACAGTTGAAGGGAGTTACCAGTTTTTGTGGGTACTAAACTGCAGCACATAAACCAACTACAGAATATTCATAAATGATGCAATTTGCAACCAAGTAAAACCAGGTAGCATCTGTTGTGCTTAGTGGATGGAAGATCAAGCTTCCACCATACTGAGTGATCCACATTAGTTTAGTTTAGCATTTCACACAAACAAAATGATAACCAGCCACCATAGTACATGTAAATGAGAGTAACCTTTTTCACGTAATATGCATATTAATTGTTGGTGGCACATCTGCACTAGAGGACTGAGGCCACTGGAACATACTTCTGTGGTGGAGGACTGGCACCAGGATCTCAGGGAACTGATATGTAAATAAATAAATCTATAAAACTGTTGTATAAGCAGAAACTCTTGTATTATTATTCATACCATGAAGGTTGAAATGTGGGGAGACACTAATTATGAAAAGGACTAGTATTTTATGCACTTTTTCTGCATCAGAAAAAGATGACATGCTGAATATAAATGCAAAAGTGCCTTTTAACATTGTGATAATTAACATGAAGCCTGCACATTATACAGTATTCAAAACAATCAATGAACCAATATGCATCATATAGCACTATCATATGCAGTACAGGAATGTACATAGTTGAAGTCTTAAGTGATAAATCAGTTCTATCAAAGTGTATTTAATCTCACTGGTGAAACAGTGATAATTGCTATATATAGTAGGCTAAGCATAAAAGTTCATATATGCAATAACAATGGAAAATTTTCATGAAACCAACAAAACTTGTACTGTCAGTTTTCATATATGCATCAAACTCTCATATCTATAATAGAGTTTGAAGTTTAAGTATATAAAAATTAGCAAAAATAGAAATCTGTATATATAAATCTGAATGCACATTGCTGAAAATTATTGTGTGTATAAGTAATACCAGAGCAATATTATATTCCAAGATGGTGTCTCCCACACACTGCCTTCTTTCAACTCTAGACAATCCTGTGAGGCAAAGTGACCTCACATGCTGCTCTCAAAATATTGGTCGAATGTATGAATGTTGTTTTTGACCACTGATTTTGTTCATGAGCATCAACTTAACTAATAACAGTATGTATTCAACATCAGTATATACTGAACATCATTATATAGTTAATATATTAAAACATGCGAAACTGCTATAAAGGTAATATAGTGTAGAAGCTAAACAGTACTGTACAACTGTACATCTAAAAAAATAATGCAGGTCTCAAGATATCAAATGTTCTTGAATCTTGTAACATTAAAGGTAGGAAGATTAAACAAAATACATCTTAACTGTAGTGTCTGGGAAGGTGAATGAGTGAACACTGAACATCTGGAAAGGCAGTGAAATGTCTGAGAAAGTAAACAAGAGAACACCAAAGGTCTAGGAGGATGAACAAGAGATCACCGAGGGTCTGGGAAGGTGAATAAGAGAATGTTAGTTAACAATCTCATCCAGCCTACTGGTCTGTTAACAAGCTGTTTCTTGGCACCAAAGCATATACAACACCTCTGCCACTGTCTTCACTGTGTCACAGTATGGTCTAGTAGGTCAATGCTAGAGCTGGGATTCAGTATGGTCAGATTAGTGATCATATATGTTTTATTTCCATTAGACTACCATAGAAATTGAACTTGCCAAGAACACACAATATCAAACATCAATATTTTGATTATGTATTTTCTGGTTTAGTGCTTTTCAAACTGTTAAACTTGAGGGAAATGGACACATGCATTCACTTGGGACACCTTTATTGAAGATGTTTCAGTTCTTGTACCTAAATTACTACAGATACACGTACAGTGGTACCTCGGGATACGAAATTAATTCGTTCCAGAAGGCTGTTTGAGTGCCGATACTGAACGAATTTGTTCCCATAAGGAATAATTTAAATTAGCTTAATCTGTTTTGACCCCCAAAAATACACTTACAAAAGCACTTACATAAATACACTTACATAACTGTTCAAGTTTTCAGCTGTTTGTATCCCGAGGTACCACTGTATTTGAAGTGACTGAGGTCCAAGGACCAAGAAATCTTCTATAAAAGTGTCTTAAGTGAATGCATTCATGTTCATCTTCAAGTTGTTGGCAGTTATTTGCCTTCTTACTACAGTCTATCAAACTTAAGAAGAGTAGATGTATTTCTTCACTTCATAAACATTCATATGCCCAGGTGGGTGTACCTATCTCACTCCTCATCCCAGACACTTGCATCTATAGGTGAGAGGACAACTCCTTTCACCACTCTCCCAGACATTAAGTTGGAGATTCTCTCTCTGCCCCTTCCAGGCATAGGGAGGACACCTTTTTCACCCACCCCTCCCAGGCACTATATTTAAGTGGGAGATGTCCCTTTAATCTCCTCCCAGATGTACTTGTCCATGACAGTACTGAAAATAGGAACTACTGATCATCTGCTCATCACCACATACATGAATGCCGTGTGTGTAAAAATTTAAATGTTTAACTTTTTTGCAATGGAATTCATGCTCTGACGATTCACAGAGACTAAACAAGAGTAGTCTGTGGTTGATGAAATAAATTTGGAAGTGTAACAAGTTTTTAATTTCCCTCACTGTTGAGTTTTGAAGAGGTATATAAAAATATGAACATAACTGAACATGACTATGCAACACAGTTATATACAGCATACTAGTACCTGGGATATACAATATCAAATGACAATTGCCACAGAAAAAACAAATGACTTTACTCTGAAGATTATATAATATAAATGATGGTCCTAATGTGTGAAAATGAACTGTAGACTTAGTTGTCAGTTAGGTGGTTTTAGGCTTCAGGCTGAACTCTGACTCTGATTACCAGGAAACCCCCTTTACTGAACTGTACAAACAAGGCAGAGAAATACGTACTTGTAACATTAAGGTGCCTTTTCTACTTAACAGTAGTGGCTGCAAACTATGCTTGATAAAATTTTGCTCTCACCTTTGGCAGTATTATTATTATTATTCCTCCATGGGGAAGTGGAGAAGAATTCTTTCCCAGTAAGCCATGTGTGTTGTAAGAGGTGACTAAAATGCCGGGAGCAAGGGGCTTGTAACCCCTTCTCCTGTATAAGTTACTAAATGTAAAAAGAAGAAAAACTTTTGTTTCTTCTTTCACCCTGCCTCGGTGAGAGACAGCCAATATGTTAATTTTTTTTTATTATATTCAAAAAACAAATTCTCAACCTGTACAGTTCATACAGCTCACCTTGATCATGCACTGCTGTCTTGTAAACCTGCCACCATCTTATCTAATGTCTAGACAAGGTAAAACATGTAAGACAGCTAATCACAAGTGTACATCTGGCCTGTTACTTCTACAGAGCCTTAAACACTGGAGAGATTTTGGTGGCCTTAATCTTACATAGATCATTGTTGTTAGGGTTCCTCAACTAGACCAAAATTTTAAGACAGCTTTTCCACATGATGGGCAGCCATCAGCAATTTCACTAGTTGTACCTTCCTCAAGAACATCCCTAATCAGCAATTATTCATTCTTCAACTCACATTAAGAAAATTTTTTACAACAAAAACACAAGGAATCAACTCGAATAATCAAATCATTAGTGAGGCTCACAAATAGCTCCAACTTTATCCTGTAACTAATATGGATGCTACTTAATATTAAATAAAGTACTGTATACCAGATACCTATACATTAACTAATTATAAAGCTATTGCTAATACCAGGCTCTGAAATAAGCCAAGGCATGATAACAATGATTAATTTGCAAAACATTAATAGGAATTCACATAAAATGCTAAAGTTAAAAAACAGAACCAGTAAGTGAGAAAGAAATCCTCTTTGATTACATATAAAGGCAGTTAAAAATCAAGGAATTCAAATTTATAAACATTTTGTGGTCAAGTTTGCAAAATACTTTTAATGATCCCTAGATATTAATGCTATTGTTATACAGTCAATGAATTTGCAAATTTTAACACAGTTATAATTGTTCTTGAGGAGTACTAAACCTAAGACAAAGTTTAATCATGAATTCATAAATAAAAACAACTTTCATCTGCAATTAATATATCATATGATAAGGAAGCAGTACAAATTAGTTTGAAATTAATCCAAGACTAATGACTGACTTATTGTCTAGTGTTTACTTGAGTAAAATATCTGAAGGTTAAAAAAAAAAAAAAAAAACTTGCAGATGTATTACAAAAAAAAGTTTTCACTTATTTTCCGTTACTCTCTTGAACTGTACAAAACTCCAAGATTATATCATATAATATTGTAGATTTATCTTTTAGGTACACTCATAAACACTGAGCAACAGTATAAAAAAAATTATATATCTTAACATAGTTCAAAAATCTATTATACTAAGCGAAGCTCAGGCTGTTGAATTTGGACCAAGAAGTTAAAACTGAAAATTTTAGAAAAATATTTCAAAAAAATTAGTGCACATTTTTTTTCAATTACAAATGTGCAATGTGAATCCCTTAATTTTATGTACTACTATATATTTGTGAATACTTTCACTGCTGACATCCCACAAACTAAAAGCCCCTTCTGTTGCTATTTTGGAAAAAAAATAGAAGAATAATACTTATTTAATTACACAGGTGTAAAGTTGGAGGTTGGAGAGCACTTTACATAACAGCAATTTTGCCCAGTGTGAGGCCTCTTTTAGGCCTATTTCACTGCTCAAATCAGCCCAATTCCCAGCTATTCAATCATCCAAACTACCCTATTAAGCACTCAAGAGTCAATGATTAGGCCAATTCTACACTATTTTCAATGCATTCCAATTTAAATACAGTCCAAAACAAGCACTGTAGGCAATCCAGCCTACAGTGTTTGTTTTGGACAAACCATAACCATAGCTCCAGGCCTCTCCTGTACAACACTTGACCTTCATTTTGAATCCGTTGACACAAATATTCAACATTTTTCCCTCTTTTTCAGTTAATATAACTAAGAATAAGCATTCTTAAAGCTTTCACAAGAGGGTCCTTCCCTGCCCTTCTCTAGGAAAATTGCTAAAAATCGACCATTTCTGCCACTTTGAGGTTCAAGCCACTTCATCTGAAACCAACCAAAGTCTTCTCCATACTACTAGTACATTTTTTTTGATCTATCTGACATCAAGAACCAACCAATAAAACATAAAAACCACCAAAAAAAAAAAAAATCACTATTTCTGACCTAAACACAGGGTTAGAAGTTAGCTGTTCCCATCATGCACTGAACAGGGCAGAATTTTTTTTATGATGCTCATACCCACTGCACAGATCCATTCTCTCATGTCTAGGCCAAAATTTGCTGCTCCCAGGAAATTTGGGGGCACTATGATCTACTGACATAGATCTATGTGATTGACAGTAAAGGGGTTATTTTTTTTTTTAACATCTGGCTGTCTCCCAGTGGTGCAGGGTGATCCAAAAAAAAGAAACACTTTCACCATCATTCACACTTTCACTGTTTTGCCAGAAGCGTGCAGATACAACAGACTAGATGTCACTCTAAAACAGTAGATATCCCAAACCCTCCTCTAGAGTGCAGGCATTGTACTTCCCACCTCCAGGACTCAAGTCCAGCTAACCAATTTCCCTGAATCCCTTCACAAAATATTACCCTGCTCACACTCCAACAGCTTGTCAAGACCCAAAAACCATTCGTCTCCACTCACTCCTATCTAGCACATTCACACATGCCTGCTGTATGTCCAAGCCCCTTGCACACAAAACCTCCTTTACCTCCTCTCTCCATCCTTACCTAGGATGACCCTAACCCCTCCTTCCCTCCACTACAGATTTATACACCTTCAAAGTCATCCTATTTTGTTCCATCCTCTCTAAATGACCAAACCACTTCAACAAGCCCTCCTTAGCCCTCTGAATAATACTTTTAGTACCTGCACACCTCCTCTTAATTTCTACACTATGAATTCTCCAAATAATGTTTACACTACACATTGCCCTTAGACACATCATCTCCACTGCCTCTAGCCTCCTCTTTGCAACATTCATACCCATATAAGAGTGCTGGTATCACTATAATCTTATACATTCCCTTCTTTGCCTCCATGGATAATATTCTTTGTCTCCAAAGATACCCCAGCACACCACCTACCTTTTACCCCTTCATCAATTCTACAGTTGTAAATTGATGAAAGGGCACATCCGCTCCCAAATATCTGAACACATTCACTTCTTCCAAAATCCCTCCCTCCAATCTGATATCCACTTTTTCCTAACCTAACTTGTTAAGATACCCTCACCACCTTACTCTTATCTATGTTCTTTCAACTTCCTTCCTTTACACATAAGCCATTTCCCAACAAGATGGGTGACCTAAAGAAGAAAACACATTCACCATCGCTCATGGTATGTCTTCCCAAAAGTACACACATAATCAGTTCAATTGACTCGCTGAATCACAACCTCCCCATACATAATTAAGTGCACCACCGTTTTTTCACCTCCACAATTTAAGTCTTTCAAACTAGTTTTCTCTGAATTCCTTCAGAAGTTACAGACTCATTTTTATTTTACAGAGTATACTGTAAAGATTTTTTTAATCTAACTAGTCACTGATTTTTACTTATTGTTTAATGTACCAGCCATTTTCTACCAAGGTAAGGTAATCCGAAAAGAAGGAAACTTATTATCATTCATACAATTACTGACTTACCAGAAGTGAGCAGACATCATAATTCGATCCTCCAAACTGCAACATCTCCATTCCTCCTTCAAAGTGCAGGCACCATATCTTCTAATTCCAGGCTAACCAATTTTGAAACATGGACATGAGAAGTTCATTGATTGCACTCTAGACAAGGAGTAGGAAAGTTACAATTCTGAGGGTCATTTGAATTGTAACATCTGTGCAATTCTTTTTTTTTTTTTTTTTTTTTTTTTGGGGGGGGGGGGGGTGTCACTCAACCTTAGTGGAAGAGGGCTAGTGAATTTAAAAAGAGAAGTGATTAGTCAAATAAAAAATATCTCTACAGTATACTCTATTGCAACAAAGTATAAAACTGAAAAAGATGACATCTATGAAAGAACTCATATAAAAACATTTTGCCAAACTTGAGTTCTGAAGGTGGAAATACAGTGGATGCATTCAGTTATGAATGGGGAGGTCATGATTTGGTGGGTCATTTGAACTGTGATATTTGTGTACACTGTGGAAGTGTATGTTACTGAAAATATAACAGATTATACAAAAAATGCTGCAACTGAAGAAAAATACCAATAAAATTTAAACTGCCCCAATGTGGTATATAGTGCACAGTGACAAATAATGTTGCAGGATCTGTACATGTGCTCATCATTAACCCTTTCAGGGTCCAGAGGCCAAATTTCAAAGTGCACACCAGGGTCCAAGAATTAAAAAAAAAAATGTTATTTTTTTTTATGAAATGGTAGAGAATCTTTTTCTGAAAGTAATAAACGAAAAAGTACGAAATTTGATGAAAAATTGACAAAATTATGCTCTCGCAAATTTTGATGTGTCAGTGATATTTATGAATCGGCGATTTTGCCGACTTTGACTCCCATTTTAGGCCAATTACATTATTCCAGTCGACCAAATTCTTAGCTATTTCACTAGTATTACTTCCATTCTATCGACTGAGCACAAGAAATTGCCAAGTCAACTATTTCAACTACAAAATAAAGTGATCGGAAATTGGTAATTTGGCCAATTTAACACAAAGTTCAAAATATTCCAATTTCAAAATAGGGTCCAGAATAAACAATGTAGGTATTCCTGGCACTAAACTAACATTTCCTCTGTTCATTAGTTACGTTTTGAGGCTTTACAAATGAATTCCATTTTGATTTTTTATTCACATAATGAAGTTTTATTCAAACCAAAAAATAGATTTACTAATGCAATATTGTAATAACTGTATAAATATCATTATCACATTTGTGAATGTATATCTGACCCACCAGCAGGCGTGTATTAGACATGTGTGGTCGTTTGTTTACTCTTGAACATCGGCAAAAATTTAACATTTCCGCTACTTTGAGCTCAGTTTCAAGCCATTTCCAGTGCTAAAACCAATCAAAATCATCTCTATTTCTGTAATATGTCTTCCATTCTATCAAATGAGACCAAGAAATCGTAAATACAACTATAAAAAACATATGAAAAAACACTGCAAAGTCGCTGTTTTAATCGAAAAACACGGTCTCAGTTTTTTTCTCTCATTATACACTGTGTGCTGCAGGATTTGTTTTATGTGGTGCACACATACCACATAGATGTATTCTCTCATATCTAGGCCCAACTTTACCACTCACAGCTTATCAGAATGAGCTGAGCTCATGGCGTAGATCTACGGTTTGGACCCTGAACGTAAAGCCGTAGATCTACGGCATGGACCCTGAAAGGGTTAAAGTATACCGGCCCTATCAAACCATGACCACAACATTGATCATCCCCTGTACTTGAGGACATTCTTTAATTGTCTAGGAAATGATTAACACACATTCTTCATTACCACCCCATGACTACCAGTTGACATCCTCCAACTGAGGGGGTGGGTTGATAACCTTCTCCTAGTAGACCTCTCTCTGTCACAGCCCAGAGGTTCTCAATGGGGGTTTAAGTCTGGGGAATTTCCTGGCCAGTCATCAAAGCCACTAACAGGTTTCATAGTGTGACAAGGAGCACTGTCTTGCACATAATCTTGGTACCACACTGAGTGAAAGATTCAGGCAAATGATCACAGAGCATTTCTAAGTACTATACATTATTACAGTTAACATACGTATGGATGTTTTTGTAGCCTTTGGTGTGTGGCATGTCATCATCATTATCTTCAAACAACCGACAGAATTATGGCCTCACTGAACACTCGCACACACTGATGGCTTCTACTATTTCCTTCATTTGATGGCCTGCCTTATGTAATCCAATGATCTGTACAACTGTCCCAGTCAGCGACAAACTCCTCCCCATATTAATTCGTCAATAGCCGAATATTTTGGGTAAACTTGGCACTCAAGAGCACATGGCACAGGGGGACAACTGACCCAAGTCCATCCATCAGACAAGCCTAGAAGGTGTTTAGGGAATCCTGAAACATACCCCTATAAGTTACCAAACCAGCATAATATTTTTGTCTCCCTGAAGCACCTATCAGGGTAGGGTATTATTTTGGACATTAAAATATGACAGGCACCTTCCAACGGCATACTGTACTTTAATAACAAGCACTGTAAGCCTCACAAAGAATAAACAAACCATTGTACTAGCAAGGTTATGTATTTTAATACATACTGTAATTGTTTAATTTTTTAAGTGATTTCTGAAAGTTGTCATGTCATGTATATACTAATTTAATTCCAGTTTTTTCAAAATAACTGGTAATTTTTAGAAAATCATCACAACTAAATTACTGCCAAACCCCTTAATTAAATTAATTCAAAAAGCTTTATAAGTAGTGTATTTATTTCTATTTTTTTAAGTACGGGTATGTGTGTTGTGGTGACCCAATCCAAACAGTAACTGACAAAATAAATTAAAAAATATATATACTATATCCTTAATTTCCTTCAAATGCAGTGCAAAGTACTATACATAATGTACACAAGAGAAAATAGCATTTCATTGAAGGCATCTATTATATTATTGTATATATAGAGTATACCCTAAATTAGATGAATTTTGATTCATATTTATTAATTGTGGGTGCACTGATAGCATCTCCAGTGAGGGCAGCATGATGGGAGTGTAGATTTGGAAGGCTAGGATGAGCACGTCCTACAGCCTCTGCATAACGGTGCTCCCCTAAAGTCAGAACCACATCAAGAAGGAAGGCACTATTTCTTCGAATTGTAGTAATCTGAAAAGAGAATTTCAATTTTAAAACAATGACACCCCAGAACTCTATTTATATATTTTTTACGAGGATAGTGAGGCTCAGGTTAGGGTGTGTAATGTCACCATGATTGTTTAATATATTTATAGATGGGGATGTAAAAGAAGTAAATGCTAGGGTGTTGGGGAGAGGGGTGGGATTAAATTATGGGGAATCAAATACAAAACTGGAGTTGACACAGTTACTTTTTGCTGATGATACTGTGCTTTTGGGAGATTCTAAAGAAAAGTTGCAAAGGTTAGTGGATGAGTTTCAGAGGGTGTGTAAATGTAGAAAGTTGAAAGTAAACATAAATAAGAGTAAAGTGATGAGGGTATCAAATGATTTAGATAAAGAAAAACTGGATATCAAATTGGAGAGAGGGAGTATGGAAGAAGTGAATGTTTTCAGATATTTGGAAGTTGACTTGTCAGCAGACGGGTTTATGAAAGATGAGGTTAACCATAGAATTGATGAAAGAAAAAAGGTGAGTGGTGCATCGAGGTATCTTTGGAGACAAGAAAATGTTATGCATGGAGGCAAAGAAGGAACTTTACAAAAGTATAGTGGTAGCAACACTCTTATAGTCAAGAGGGCTGAAGAGGAGTTGTTGAGGTAGTTTGGTCATTTAGAAAGAATGGAACAAAGTAGAATGACTTGGAGAACACATAAATCTGTAGGGGAAGGAAGGCGGGGTAGGGGTCGTTCTTGAAAAGGTTGGAGGGAGGGAGTAAAGGAGGCTTTGCAGGCGAGGGGCTTGGACTTCCAGCAAGCATGTGTGAACGTGTTAGATAGGAGTGAATGGAGACAAATGGTTTTTGGGGCCTGATGAGCTGTCGGAGTGTGAGCAGGGTAATATTTTGTGAAGGGATTCTGGGTAACTGGTTAGCCAGACTTGAGTCCTGGAAATGGAAAGTACAATGCCTGAACTTTAAAAGAGGGGTTTGGGATATTGGCAGTTTGGAGGAACTTCTAAACTGTCATATCTGAGCACCTCTACAAAGACAGTGATTATGTATGAGTGATGGTGAAAGTGTTGAATGATGATGAAAGTATTTTTCTTTCTTTCTGGGTCACCCTGCCTCAGTGGGGAGTGGCAGATGTGTTTAAAAAAGAAAAAATTTAGTCTTACAATTCTTTTCACTTTTCACACTTTCAATGATAACTATTATTAGCTATGGCACAGTGTAAAAGAATTTGAGAAATTAATAGAATCTAAGACTGCAGAACCTGAAAATAACAATAAACAACTTTATCTCAACTACTTTAAATTTGTATAGCTTGAATTTTTTCTAGTTTTATTTTAGTGTTTCTCAAGCTGTAAAAAAAGTTAAAACACATCCTACTCACTTTGACTAAACTAACATCTTAATGGCAGAGAATAATTCTGTTACTGATGACAGATAATACAGAAGTGCTGTCACTAACAGATGTGGAAGTGGAAATGAATTGTAATATTTAATCCTTTTTCTTTTCCGAGAAAAAATTCATCAAAAATCCATGTGCTAATAAATGTCAAGAAAACTACCAATTTAGGGAAACGTTTGCAGAGAATCATATTTTTTGTATAGAGAAATACATTATAGTGCATCTAAAGAGTTTATGCATTTTAAATAAAAAAAAATCTATAAATTTTAACAGTTGAAAAAGTGGGCAAAAATTTAATGGAGAAATGAGGTCCATGCATGAAATATATTATAAAAATTATGAACACTTTAATTCAAATGAAAAAAAAAAAAAGAGAGAAAATAAACGAAAATGCAAGTGCCTTGTACGAAATAAATCATAAAAATTATAATTGTATCATTGTTTAACAAAAGCATCATGACTGACAAACATTATTTAATTCTTATTCAGTGTATCTGACATGAATAAAGATATTCATGTCCTCACAGATGACACAAAGCATGTGCCACTGAGCATAAAAATGGATAATCAATTACCTCATTTTTAAATAGAGGTTCAACTAAGGAAGACTTGCAGTGCCGAAGCTGAGCAGAGAAGAGAGCAGTCAGGGACCCATTGATAAGATGTTCAGTTTCTGGCCAATACAGTCTTAAGACATCTTCCAGATAACCAAGGAAAGCCCTGCTAAACTGAATGCTATTGTTTGTTAACCCAACACACAACTCATCTGAAAATAAGAAAAACCATCATCAATGTGTTCTTATTCTTTTCTCTTGTTCTCTGATTTTATCATAAGTGATCTTAACAAAACCCTGAAAGCAGCAGCCCAAGAAAACTGCTACAATGCTTAATATTTGAAAAACTGGGTGGAGGAGGAGGAAGAGAAGGAAGAAGAGCTAAAGAAGTTGGAAGAGGAGGAAAAGGAGAAAGAGGAGGAGGAGGAGAAAGAGGAGGAGAAGGAGAAAGAGGAGGAGAAAGAGGAGGAGAAAGAGGAGGAGGAGGAGGAGAGGAGGAGGAGGGGAGGAGGAGGAGGAGGAGGAGGAGGAGGAGGAGAGGAGGAGAAGGAGGAGGGAAGAGAGGAGGAGAAGGAGGAGGAGAAGGAGGAGGAGAAGGAGGGGAGGAGGAGGAGGAGGAGGAGGAGGAGGAGGGGAGGAGGAGGAGGAGGAGGAGGGAGGAGGAGAAGGAGGAGGAGAAGGAGGGAGGAGAAGGAGGAGGAGAAGGAGGAGGAGAAGGAGGGAGGAGAAGGAGGAGGAGAGGAGGGGGAGAGGGGGAAAGGAGGAAGGAGGGAGGAGAAGGGGGAAAGGGGGAAGGGGAGGAGAAAGGAGGAGGAGGGGGGAGGGAAGGAGGAGGAGAAGGGAGAAGGAGAGGGGGGAAGGGGAGGGGAAAGGAGAAGGAGGGAGGGAAGGAGAGAGGAGGAGGAGGAGGAGGAGGAGAAGGGGAAAGGGAGAGAAGGAGGAGAGGAGGAAAAGGGAGGGAAGGAGAGGAGGAGAAGGGGGGGAGGAGGAGGGAAGGATGGAGAAGAGATGGGAGGAGGAAAGGAGGGGGAGGAAAGAGGAGGAGGGGTGGGGAGGAAAGGAGGAAGGAGGAGGGGGGAGAGGAAAGGGAGAGGAGGAGGAAAGGAGGAGGAGAGGGGGGAGAAGGAGGAGGAGGAAAAGGAGAGGAAAAGGGGGGGAAAGAAAGGAGGAGTGAGAGGGGGGAAAAGGGAGGAGGAAAGGGAGAAAGTAGGAGAAGGGGAGGAGGAGGAGGGAAGCGGTATATTTTAAGGAGACGGTAAAATCCATTAGAGTTGAAAAAACCGCCCAAGGAGGTACCGTCCGCCAAGTGAGTTAAAACGAAAGCCTGTAATTGTTTTCATGATGGTAGGATTGTTTGTGTCCTTTTTTCGGGTTCATGACATGCAAGATTTCAGGTACGTCTTGTTTATTTCCCTACTTACACTTAGGTCACACTACCAAATACATGTACAAGCATTATAACACCCCTCGGGTTTTCTTCTATTTTCTTTATAGTTTTATTTTTTTTTTTATAAACACTGGCCATTCCCACCAAGGCAGGGTGGCCTGAAAAAGAAAAACTTTCACCCCTCATTCACTCTTCACTGTCTTGCCAGAAGGGTCTTTACACTACAAATTTTTTAAACTGCAACATTAACACCCCCCCTTCAGAGTGCAGGGACTGTACTTCCCATCCCAGGACTCAAGTCCGGCCTGCCGGTTCTGAACCCCTTCATAAATGTTTCTTTGCTCACACTCCCAACAGCACGTCAAGTATTAAAAACCATTTGTCTCCATTCACTCCTATCAAACCCGCTCACGCATGCCTGCTGGAAGTCCAAGCCCCTGCACACAAAACCTCCTTTACCCCCCCCCTCCAACCTTTCCCAGGCCGACCCCCTACCCCGCCTTCCTTCCACTACAGACTGATACACTCTTGAAGTTATTCTGTTTCGCTCCATTCTCTCCACATGTCCGAACCACCTCAACAACCCCTTCCTCAGCCCTCTGGACAACATTTGGTAATCCCGCACCTCCTCCTAACTTCCAAACTACGAATTCTCTGCATTATATTCACACCACACATTGCTCTCAGACATGACATCTCCACTGCCTCCAGCCTTCTCCTCGCTGCAACATTCATCACCCATGCTTCACACCCATATAAGAGCCTTGGTAAAACTATACTCTCATACATTCCCCTCTTTGCCTCCAAGGACAAAGTTCTTTGTCTCCACAGACTCCTAAGTGCACCACTCACCCTTTTTCCCCTCATCAATTCTATGATTCACCTCATCTTTCATAGACCCATCCGCTGACACGTCCACTCCCAAATATCTGAATACATTCACCTCCTCCATAACTCTTCCCTCCAATCTGATATCCAATCTTTCATCACCTAACCTTTTTGTTATCCTCATAACCTTACTCTTTCCTGTATTCACTTTCAATTTTCTTCTTTTGCCACCCTACCAAATTCATCCACCAATCCTGCAATTTCTCTTCAGAATCTCCCAAGAGCACAGTGTCATCAGCAAAGAGCAACTGTGACAACTCCCACTTTATGTGTGATTCTTTATCTTTTAACTCCACGCCTCTTGCCAAGACCCTCGCATTTACTTCTCTTACAACCCCATCTATAAATATATTAAACAACCACGGTGACATCACACATCCTTGTCTAAGGCCTACTTTTACTGGGAAATAATTTCCCTCTTTCCTACATACTCTAACTTGAGCCTCACTATCCTCGTAAAAACTCTTCACTGCTTTCAGTAACCTACCTCCTACACCATACACCTGCAACATCTGTTCTTATTCTTGTTTATTTCCTCTTATCTCCATGGGGAAGTGGAACAGAATTCTTCCTCTGTAAGCCATGCGTGTTGTAAGAGGCGACTAAAATGCCGGGAGCAAGGGGCTAGTAACCTCTTCTCCTGTATATATTACTAAATGTAAAAGGAGAAACTTTCGTTTTTCCTTTTGGGCCACCCCGCCTCGGTGGGATACAGCCGGTGTGTTGAAAGAAAGATGCAATAGTATATACTGCATATTTTTTTAACATGTCAATCATCTCCCAGCAAGGCAGGGTGGAGTACCTACACTCTTAGAATGCAGGCACTGTACTTCCCACTTCTAGAACACAAGTCTGGCTCACCATTTTTCCTGAATCCCTTCATAAATGCTACCTTGGTCACACTCCAACAACATATCAAGCCCAAAAGCCCCCTGTTTCCATTCATTATGATTTAATGCACCTACATATACTTACAAGCATGTTGGATGTTCAAGCCCCTAGCACTCAAAACCTCTTTTACCTCTTCCCTCCAATGTTTCCTGGGATGACCCAATTCTTCCTTCCATCCCCAATTTATACATTCTTGAAATCATCTTATTTTGCTCCATCTTCTCTAAATGGCCCAAACAACTCAACAATCCTTCCTCAATTCTTCTTCTTATTGATTTCTTAGCTCTATCAATGAGGACAACCAGAGACTACAACTGTAAACCAAGAAAAAGGATGTGTTACAAGAAGACATATGTTTGATGGATTTCAAGAGTTTTCCTATTCCTACAGCCTGCCCCTGGACTGGGCATATTGGGTGCTTGCCTGAACAACCAGGTTGTTGCTGTTGGTGGCACACTGGCCTACATATCCATCACAGCCAGGTTGATGCAGCACTTGGCAGATATACATGTCCAATTTCCTTTTAAAGACTTCTACACTTGTTCCGGCAGAGTTTCTGAAGTCTTTTGGTAAGATGTTCAACAATCTGGGCCCATGTATGTTAATACAATGTTCTCTTATTGTACCCATGGCACCCTTCCTTGCTTTTCACTGAGTTTATTTTATATTTTCTTCCTTATTTCTCATTCCAGTATGCTATGGCAGTGTGCAGATTTGGGACTAGGTCCTCAAGTACCCTCAAGAAATACTCTCCTCATAAAGAACATACTCAACTACTGGAATAAGATCCAAAAATGGATGTATTCTAAATTATACAGTTCTTTATAATGTAATACTGCAGCCACCATCTTCATATAACATGCACTGTAGAAATGTGCAAATACTGTACCATATACAAAAACAATAGGGTTGCATTTCAGGACTCCCAAAAACACCTACCAGTTTAATACTGTGTGAAGTTTTTTAAAATAAATTCAATATTGCACAACTTCACATTCTGGCAGCAACGACAACCTAAAGTTGAATATTCAACTTGCTACTTTTTCAGTTAAGGCTTCTAATCCCCAGGTACTACATTTGCACTTCTCCAAAGACATGTTATTGTGCCAATAAATAGTTTGGATAGAAATTTTGAGCATTTGGCCTGTTCAAGGCACCACAAAGTGCAACTCCTATTTGTTTTTCTGTCTTTCTCAGCTCCACAGCTTTCACACTCATCCTTTATATCAATTCTCTGTTAATAATAGTAGATACAGAGGGTTGAGCTGTACAAATGATCAATTCATTTACTTCATATTCTTACACTATATTCACCACATGGAGCATACTTAAGATTTTTTCTTGAGCATTATCACAGATTCTAGTTTTGTTGCCACCATCTCAATTCCAGTGTCACTAATGATCCTCTTGGATGCCATAGCAATGAAAAAAAAGCTGGGAGTGGAAGACAATCTAAAATAAGAGCTTGGCAGTCACAGGTCAAATGAAGTGACAGTGGCACAGCATGATTAAAGAGCAGGATGTCAGTTGTTGGGGGTAGTGGGTTGGTTCTGGTGGTGCCATTACACACCTTAGACTGAGAAGTGCACAGAATTTTAATGCCTTATATTTTTCCCCTGGGTTCAACTGCATTGTCAAGAATTTGCAATAGTATAGTTTTTAAGTTGCAAATTATAAAGTAAAAATGTGAAGCATAACAAAGTCTTTTATGGGGTTATTGGCATACCCCAATATAAACTGCCCCATTCTTCACTATCTTATTTGCATTACTGTAGCGTACATGAGCTGAAACTCTTGGAACGTAATAAAAATAAATGATAAAATAAACTATTATAAATAGGAAGCCACAAACATAGCTCTGGTCCTTAAACTACATTTACATTCACTAACCAAGCGCAAAATACTATGCACATTGTTAGTGAATGTAAATATTTAAAATGACTAGCTTAAAATGTATTCTTTACTTTACTCACCCATGACATATGCCTGAATATTGGCTATTCCAATATCATTCATATCCTCAATGAATTTATTGAGCTGGTCCTTGTTCTCAAACTTCAGTGTCTTCCAGGTGTCTTCTTGTCCTCTTAGTTTGACAGCCTCTATCATTTTGTCTCGGCCATCGCGAATCCACTTCTCAACATCTCGCAGCAATAGTGTGTGAAGAGCAAATGTCAGGTCTAACCCTATGTCTGCCAACTGTGATAAATATTATGTTAGGAGTAATAAAATCCAACGAGAAATATTACACATCATACTGCAGATGTTAAACATAAAATATGTAATGCAGAGTGTATATATTTATTCTCATTTATATTAATTTTTTGTAAAACTGTTTTATTTTTCTCCTCACAGTAGTCATAAATCACATGGAAAATGAGAAGCAATCAAGTTCAATCCAAGGAAGGGAAAGATCAGAGGTAGTGCCAAAGTAGGGACTTGGGGAGGCTTCAATCCCTCCCCCCTAAAAAAAATTCCCCATTCCCCCCAAAAATATAGTAATAATAATAATAATAATAATAATTATGGGGAATGAAATACAAAATGGGAATTGACAAAGCTGCTTTTTGCTGATGATACTGTGCTTATGGGAGATTCTAAAGAAAAATTGCAAAGATTAGTGGATGAGTTTGGGTGTGTGTAAAGGTAGAAAGTTGAAAGTGAACACAGAAAAGAGTAAGGTGATGAGGGTATTAAATGATTTAGATAAAGAAAAAATGGATATCAAATTGGGAAGGAGGAGTATGGAAGAAGTGAATGTTTTCAGGTACGTACTTGGGAGTTGACGTGTCGGCGGATGGATTTATGAAGGATGAGGTTAATCATAGAATTGATGAGGGAAAAAAGGCGAGTGGTGCGTTGAGGTATATGTGGAGACAAAAAACGTTATCTATGCAGGCAAAGAAGGGAATGTATGAAAGTATAGTAGTACCAACACTCTTATATGGTTGTGAACCTTGGGTGGTAAATGCAGCAGCGAGGAGGTGGTTGGAGGCAGTGGAGATGTCCTGTCTAAGGGCAATGTGTGGTGTAAATATTATGCAAAAAATTCGGAGTGTGGAAATTAGGAGAAGGTGTGGAGTTAATAAAAGTATTAGTCAGAGGGCTGAAGAGGGGTTGTTGAGGTGGTTTGGTCATTTAGAGAGAATGGATCAAAGTAGAATGACATGGGGAGCATTTAAATCTGTAGGGAAAGGAAGGTGGAGTAGGGGTCGTCCTTGAAAAGGTTGGAAGGAAGGGGTAAGGGAGGTTTTTGTGGGCAAGGAGCTTGGACTTCCAGCAGGTGTGCATGAGCGTGTTCGATAGGAGTGAACGGATAGCGAAGGGATTCAGGGAAACATGTTGTTTTTATATAGCCGGACTTGAGTCCTGGAAATGGGAAGTACAATGCCTGCACTCTAAAGGAGGGGTTTTGGGATATTAGCAGTTTGGAGGGAATGTTGTTTATCTTTATACGCATATGCTTCTAAACTGTTGTGTTCTGAGCACCTCTTATAAAAACAGTGATTATGTGTGAGCAAGGTGAAAGTGTTGAATGATGATGAAAGTATTTTCTTTTTGGGGATTTTCTTTCTTTTTGGGTCACCCTGCCTCGGTGTCAGCATAGTTGCTGATCCCCTTATATGTGCTGTATAGCATATCATAGTACCATCCATGTGTTTATATAGAAGATCCCTAGGCCTGTGACTGTATGACGTCACGGGATGCTCCATGAGTGAGCGGGACAGGCTACCTCGGCCTCAGTCGACGCATAGGCATAGTAGAAGGCAGGACACGGCAGGCTGGGCTCCCTCCATCTCCCATTACCACAGTCTGACCATATATATATCGTTACCATCCAACAAGTGTGTCTACCTTCAACCCTCTTATCTCCTTACCGAACCCCACACAACATCGGTGGGAGACGGCCGACTTGTTAAAAAAAAAAAAAAAAATGCTACATCAAAACAAGTCTCCTAGCCTCCCTTCCAACCAATTAGTCACCCCTATTTCCCCTGGGGAGAAAAAGTTCAGCTCCTTACATCAAAAGCCTCTCACTAGCATCAAGGAACCTCTTGAGGGGCCTTCAAGAACTTATATTGAGAAAAATTCCACAAGACAACACCTAAGTTCTCATGACTCCTTTCCCAAACTTACCTGTATTATAGTTTCCATTTCCATTGTTCAAGCTGCTTTCACTCTGATCCTATTTCTTCTTCATTACATTCAACTGTCCATCAAAATTTTAACCTCAAGAACAGACTCTTTTATTCCTTCTTGCAACTCCCCATTTTTCAAAAACGTTTGCATACCATACAAAACCTTCACTAGGCATTTGAAGCCTCTTCAAGTGTTGTAAAAGTTTTGAATGTGAATCTCAAAAAACTGGAAAGGAATCCTACATGCTGGTTCCAGTATCATCTCCACTAGCCTTGACTACATAACTAGAATGTATGGAAAGACTTCCCCAGAAAAAGCAAATATAAGTGAGAAAATATAAGGACACACATAATGGAAAAGAATTAAAATATTAAAACAATAATTTGTGAAAAAGCAATATAGAGGTGGAGAAAATTACACTCACCATTACTCCCTTTACCACTGTTCCAACTTCAATACGTAGTACACTAGTCACAATATGACATTTCACTAAATTTTGTCAATTTTACACGAAGGTAAAAAAGATTAAAAGTGTACACAAAAAAAGAGTAAGATAAGTTTAATCCAGGCAATGAAAAAACTGGATATCAGATTGGAGGGAGGGAGTATGGAGGGAATGAATGTACAGTGGTACCTTGACTTACGAATTTAATTCATTCTGTGACCGAACTCGTAACTCAATTTGCTCGTGTATCAAATCAATTTTCCTCATTGAAATTAATTGAAATGCCATTAATCCGTTCCAGCCCCCCCAAAAAAAAAACATTTTTTTTGTTACTGGTTTTTAAATAAGAAAAATGTACTATTTATAAAAAAGAAAAATTGTATAAAAACATAATAAAGCATAATAAAAGAGAATGTAGAGAAATAAACTGGTTTATAAAGTGTATTTACCTTGGAGATCAGACGACTTGGGCTAACCGAAGATGCTGGAAGAGGTGGAGGGTGGAAAAGATAGGCAGAGAAGACTGGAGGAGTTTGTTTCGCTTTGTGCTTTTTCAGTCACTTTCGTTCGTCATAAACTCTATCGCTTAATCGCTTAACTTACTTGCTATATGTACTCCTAATGCTACACTTCATCACTGAACTTAATTGCTACAATTTTTTTTTCTCACTTCACTTTCACTGATTTTTGCCTTCACCACTGCCGCCTCGGGTTGTGTCCCTTTTGGACACAACCTCAGGCCACAGCTTCTTCCAAGTAGAGGTCAAGGGCCTCCTTGTAACACCCTGCCAGGCCATATCTATAATTCTGAGGCATATCATGATGGTTAGAAAAAAGAAATTTGGCAAAATAACTGCACGAAAAGCAAGCACAACACAAGAGAGATGCTTCCATGGTGAGGTAACCACATGCACTTAACAAGTGAGGCACAGGATGCTGAGTGGATATTGTGGCGTTCACTGCGCCAACTAGTGGCAGCATATCTGAAGCTCGCTCGTAACTCGGATTTTGGCTCGCAATTCAAAGCAAAAAATCGACAGAGTAACAGCTCATAAGTTGGGGCACTCGTAAGTCAAGGTACCACTGTATTCAGATATTTGGGAGAGAACATGTTGGCAGATGGGTGTATGAGATGAGATGAATCATAGAATATACAAAGCAGGAAAAAAGGTATAGTGTATTATCAACAGAAAGAACATTCATCTAAGAAGATAAAAATGGAATGTGCTAGTTAAGTCGTAGCAACACTTTTATATGGGTGTGAGTCATGGGCTTTAAATGTTGCAGTGAGGAGGCTGGAGACAGTAGACATGTTATGTTTGGGAGCAATGTGTGGTGTGAATATCATATAGAGAATTCAGAGCATAGATATTAGAAGACAGTGTGGGTTTACCAAAAGTATAATTTAGCACATTTTTTTTTATCTCTACATAATTTTTTAAATTTTCATATCTTATATTGGTAGCTTTATATCTAAAGAATACAGCTTTCACTCACTCCTTATTTTATAAGCTCTCACATCAATTCTCTTTGAATGCAGTGACACGTTACTTAAGGGATCTCATCATATTCTCTACTCCCATTTTGCTACATTCAAGATTTTGTTTCAGTTGTAGTGTCTTGAATCAAGACAAGTTGTATTGTTATTGCTTAATGTACTTTGCCCAAAGGCAAAGTGCATAAAGCAATACAGCTTGTCTCAAGGGTAAACAGAAAGGAAAAAAGTTGTAAAATTTGAAAAGCACTTTGACCTACAAGATCACACTTTGGAGTGCACAGAGGCATGAGTGGCATAAGAAAAGAACCAAGTTTAGCTTCACTTTTTTTTTTTAATTTTTTTTTTTTAAGAAAATTGCATTGAATCACCTGTTGACAGTGATGGTCAGCTTGACTGATACATTCCGCAACAGTAGTGATGGAAGACTGAGTAGTAAATACATGCCGGGAGAACATGGATGCAAAGTTGCTTATTTCATTGTGAGCCCAAACCACAAATGCTGTGAAAAATAAGAATAAACTAATACACTATGTCCTGCAATCTGATGCAGATTTATTTAAGCATCAACTAGGTCAATAAAGTAAAAAATTATGGGGGTGCTGAAGAAAGAAATCACTTTTATGTGCTATACAGCAGGGCTCTAACTTTTGATGATCCGACTTACGATGATCCGCACATTGAAACCAATAAATTTCTTACAAACACTGATATGCAACTACTATCATTGCAAATATTCAAATAATTCATTTTAAATAAATTAGTTTATTCTGTAAATTGTTTTTACCAAATTCATTCATACTCTGTGTTCATTTCAGCTCACATTTGTTTGGTAAAGACTGAAGGGAAGGAGGGAGAGGTCAGAGAAAGGAAGGGAGACAGAGCAAACTGGCACCATGTTTTTTAGTCATATGAACTATAACTGAATTCTCCTTCCCCTTAAGATAGAAAGAGAGAAGTACTAAGGCTCAGAATATTTTTGTATCAATACATTTAAAGCATTATATAAAATATTATAACCCCATTTCATACACAATAACAGAATATACATAATATAACAATGAATACAGTGGACCCCCAGTTTACGATCAGCTCCCAATGCGACCAATTATGTAAGTGTATTTATGTAAGTGCATTTGTACGTGTATGTTTGGGGGTCTGAAATGGACTAATCTAATTCACAATATTCCTTATGGGAACAAATTCGTTCAGTAATGGCACCTGAACATACTTCTGGAATGAAATAATATCGTAAACCAGGGGTCCACTGTATTTTGAATATTTTTAAAATTAACTATCCTCTAAATTTTTTTCATTGATGATTTGTGTACTACAGTACATTTCCAAAAACTGAATGAATGACAACTTTTGATTCTTAACTAATAACTACCTGAGGTGCAACTGCGATTAGATGGGAAAGCTTTAGTGAATTCTCGTCCAGTCTCCAGCATATTGTGAAAGAAAATTGAACATAGCTGCCGAACATACAAAACTGTCTTCCCTTCCAACCTCAAGCGTTTAAGACCTGCCTTTAAGATGGCTCCTCTGTGTCCCAAAAACAATTCACAAGCCTATAAAGATAAACATAAATTAATTTAAAAGGGTGATCATCTTCACTGTCATCAGTGCAAAACTTTCATTAATCTTTCCCTAAGACAAAAAAGCATTCAAGAAAAGAAGAATAAAACCATTAAAAATACTGTCTTCACAATAACAAACCACCTGCTTACATTATCTTCCATATTAACCCTTTCAGGGTCTGTCCTGTAGATCAACGGCTTTACGTTGAGTGTCCAAACCGTAGATCTACGCCAAAACTCTAACGCCGTCAAATTTAGCGCGATAACGCTCATAGGCCTACATGTGAGAGAACGGGTCTGCGTGGTGGGTGCGCGCCATAAACAAAAAATCTAGGCGCCCGCATAGCATTGTGGGAACGCCGGCTCAGTTACTCTTGTTCACCATGCCTCGTCGCAAGTCAGCTCTCACTCCCCGGAAAATTGGGACTCTCCTCTTCCTATCTGATAGTTCTGACACTGATGGAAGTGGAAATGAAGACGAATTCTAAGGCTTTGATCAGTTAGTGACCGAAAAGAATGACCAGGATATCGATAATAGTGCAGAAAACCCTGACGATCCTCAACCTTCTACCTCTGGTGTGGGCACTCGTGACTCACGGTCGGTTGTTCCTCATCGCAAGAGAAAACTAATATTTTCGCGTGGCCAGGCCTCTGACTTCAGTAATGATGATGATAGTGACGTGGACTGTGATTTTATTGCGCTCGACGATCAATTGAGTAGTGATAGTGAGGAATCATATTCACCAGTGAAGTGTCGGTATGTTTGCCGCCGCATGCGCTCGGGTAGTGTACCCTATGCTGTGCCCAGGGGACGGAGTACATCCCGTGGCCCAACACCAGTTTTAGGTAGTGATAGTGAGGATGATGTGGCTACACTTGGCATGGATAGACCACAGGCATCAGTGGATGGTGTTAGTGGTGATGGTAGTGGCACCGCCATGCGTGACTCACCAGGCCACGCTGGGACCCATGCTGACTCGCCAGTTCAAGGACAAAGCGGAGCGCCAGCCACCAGCCCACCACAACCACAACCACCCGCACAACCAGCCTATGATGTCCAGTATCCACCAGCAAACCGACCACACCACCCGCACAACCAGCCTATGATGTCCAGTATCCACCAGCAAACCGTATGTGGGATTGGCAGCAAAATCCCAATTTTGTTCCCAAGCCTCACCACTTTGATGATTCTCAAAGTGGAATTCTACCTACTTGTCCCCTTGGAACCACGGCCAATGAACTGGAATTCTTTGAATTATTCTTTGACCAGCCATTGATGGAAATTATTGTCAGGGAAAGTAATAAGTATTTTGAGTACACCATGGCAAATACGATCTTATCACCACATCAAGACTACACAGGTGGAAAGAGACGACTGTTGCAGAAATGTATTTGCTTTTTGCAACAATAATGCTTATGCCTCACATCTATAAGCATAATATAAAAGCATACTGGTCCACAGATCGGCTAATTTCTACCCCGGTCTTCAGTGAAATCATACCAGTGAACAGGTTTATCTTACTCTTACGTATGTTGCACTTCTCTGACAAAACCAGGTCTGACAGAAGTGACAGGTTATACAAGATTAGAAATGTTTTCATGTATCTCAAACAAAAGTTCAGGATATACTTTTATCCATTCAAGAATCTTGTAATTGACGAGTCTTTGATTTTGTTCAAAGGTAGACTGTCATTCAAGCAGTATATACCGAGCAAGAGGAAACGCTTTGGTATAAAACTGTTTGTACTCTGTGATTGTGACAGTGGCCTGGTGTTGGATATTGTTGTATACACGGGTAGTAAAACATTGAAAGATACCAAGATGTTATTGGGTATCTCAGGTGACGTAGTGGGAAACATGATGGCACCTTATCTTGGTAAGGGGCATACATTATATACCGATAACTGGTACACAAGCCCATTACTCAGTGATTTCATGCGAGTGAACAAGACAGATGTGTGTGGCACAGTGCGTTCTAATCGTAAACATATGCCCAGCTCAACGCAGGTGCTCGTGGTGATGACGTGCAGGTGTTTACTGCCAATGACATCATGGCATTACAGTGGCATGACAAACGAGATGTCACATTGTTGACAACCATTCACCGTAATGAAATGCAAGACAGTGGCAAAGTTGATCGAGTGACTAATGAACGTATTCGAAAACCAGTGTCAGTGATTGATTATACACAAAACATGCGCTTGGTTGACAAGTGTGACATGCAGATTGGTTTTGTTGACTGTGTTCGTAAGAGTTACAAGTGGTACCTGAAACTTTTCTTCCATCTCATGGACATTTCAATGCTCAATGCATATAATATGTACCAAATAAAGACTGGCAACAGACCACCGTATGGTGAATTTTGTTTGTCTGTTGTCAGACAACTCATAATGAAGTACCAGGTAACAACACCTGCTATACAACATGGTCCTCGAATTCCTCAGGATATACCCAAGCGTTTGAGGAGAGAAGGTGATCATTTCATAATACAGCTTCCTTCAACTCAGAAGAAATTTGCTCAGAAGAGATGCATTGTCTGTGCACAAACAAAACGACGGCAACAAAGACGCAAAGACACTCGGTTTATGTGTGAGGAATGTAAGGTGCCTCTGTGCATGGTGCCTTGTTTCAAGGAGTTCCACAAGCTCCAGCAGTTCTAAAACCATGTCCAGTGATTGTAAATATGTAAATATATGATAGAACATTAGTATTATACAATATTTGTGCATGTTTATTGTAATAAACAACAGTGGTAAACAATAATATGATAATAACTTTAGTGCGGTTGTGTTCAATACAGTGAGTTTATATATATACATTATATACAGTATTGGTCTCTCAGGCCCCAAATGTTAGTAGGAATAGAAAAAAAATTGGAAAAGAAAAGAAAAAACAACTAAAACCACAAAATAATATAATGCGCGTATGTGGAATTCGTCAATGTTGCCGCCACCACATCATTTTTGACAAACTTCTTGGCACTGTATCTCGGTAAGTACTGATCAGATTTTTTTTTTTGTCTTATTACCTTCACAAAAATATGCTCTTTAATTCTGTAAGAAAAAATAATTTTTTTTTTTTCAAAATTTCTTGGACACTGGAGCACCACTTCAGATTTTGTCCTTGGACCCTGAAAGGGTTAAGTAGCACTATGATAAACTAGTATCATCACACACACTAGCAACTGAAATCCAAAATGAATACAAAGCTTCATTTTGATAAATGCATACAACCCACAGGTGGAAAATGGCTGATGTATTAAAAAAATATACTTTATATAAGAAAATTGTCCAAGTCATTAGAAAAGTTTTAAGACACAAAATTAAAAACTTTTTATGCATGTGCATTGATGCTACAGTCATACACAGTACAGTAAACCCTTGATTTAACAGACTTCAGATATGAGAGAAAATCTATTGGGTGGACCAATTCACAAACAACTGACAAAGTCCACTGGTTTCAGAAGTGTCCATTATTGTTATGATCGCAAGAAAACAATCTATCTTTATTCACCACAATTACCATTACTGGCCACACACTCACCTTATTAGTCCATTTAATCAAGATTTGCACTCACTTAAGAAATCCTACCTCAGGATTGGATTAGGTAGCTGGGAACAAATATTCCAAAGATTAAATGAGTTTTTAAGTGTAATCAGGACTGCAGAGGAAATTCTGAGTCTCCCAAGCAGGCACACATTTCAGTGCCCTTACACACCAGTAATAATAGTCTTTACAATATTTGTTCAACACTTCAACAGTGGAAGCAGATTAAACTGATCTTCTACTGGACTAAACAGATACATCGTATACCTCTTACTTTATTTCCATGGACTGAAGAAAAAATTTACAATTTACTTCAGCAAATTCCTGAAACCCCGTACAGGTCAGTGCCCCAGGCAGCTGCCCAGCTGGCCCATCACTTAATCCAGCCCGGAGTGCAGTACTAGTTTTTTCTGAACATCTGGCTTAACACTGAATGATTTCATACAGAAAAATTATGCTGGAATATACCTATTAGCATGCTTACTTCAGTCTGTCACCAAAGGTTGACTCATCTGTCTATAGTTACTCTTGCCATTTAGCTAACAATTACAAGGGCATTCATATTTTTATTCTATTAAATTTTTAATTTGTCATATTCACAACTGCATATCTGCTATAAAAAACAACCCGACCAAACGCTGCAATAGTACACTGTACCTCATACCTGACTTGACTTGTTAAGATGAACAAGTAATGTTGTGGCTCGGCGTGCAGCACGAGGGCCACCTTGAAGAGACTTTTCTGGGGTCACTCTCAACTCTGCCTGCAGCACCTCTACTAAACCTCGTACTCTACCTTCAAGAGCACGTCTAAAAAAACACATACATACATTTATATGTACATATGTGAAAACTGTAAATAAAAATGTCAGCCTGCCTTTGGCAAGATAATGATTGAAAAAATGTTGGTGAAGTATTTCCATTTTTTGGGTCACCCTACCTTGGTGGAAGATGTTTGGTGGGAAGGTGGAGAGAATACATGTATTTTAAGGAGCTGTTAAATGTTGATGAAAAAAGGAAGGCAGTGGTTTCATGCTCTTCCTTACTCCTACATCTTGTAGGAGTAAGGAAGAGCCAGATGTGAGTATGGAGGAAGTGCACGAGGCAGTAGGTAAAATAAACAAAGAGTAAAGCAGCTGGGATAGATTGGATTAAAACAGAGCTGTTAAAACCAGGTAGGGGTACACATGTAATTTGGAGTGGTTGGCATATTTGTTCAATATATGCACGAAATAAGGAAAAGTACCTAAGGATTAACAGAGAGTATTCTTAATTCCTTTATATAAAGGAAAAGATGAAAAGAGAGAGTAAGAATTATAGGGAGATAAGCCTGTTGAGTATACTGGGTAAAGTGTATGATACAATTATTACTGAAAGGGGTAATGGTAAAAGAAAGTAGGATTACAGAGGAACAAGGCAGATTTAGGAAGGAAAGGGGATGTATAGACAATGTGTTGAACATTGAAGCATATAAATAAATAATACTTAGACAAAGATAAGGAACTTTTTATTGCACTTACGGATTTAGAAAAGGCTTGGTGGATAGGGAAGCATGTGGCAGATATTGGAAATGAATGGAATAGGTACTAGGTTACCAAATATAGTAAAGAGTCTTGATGTGGATAGTGAGGCTCAGGTTAGTGTATGCAGGAGAGAGAGGGGGATTCTTCACTAGTAAAAGACCTTAAAGATGTGTGATGTCAACTATGCAGCACTTATAGATGCAGCTGTAAAGAAGTGAATGCTAGGGTATTGTGGAGGTGTAAAATTAAAAGGTAATGAATTTTATACAAAGTGGGAGTTGTCACAAATGCTCTTTGCCAATGACACTGTTCTTTCAAAAGACTACAGAGAAATTCCAGAGGTTGGCAGATGAACTTGGGAGGGTAATAAGCATAACAACAAAATCTAGGCAATGAAAGATTGGATATCAGATTAGAGAGGGAGTATAAAGGAAGTAAATGTATTCAGGAATCTTGGAGTAGACTTATTGGCAAATGGGCCTACAAACGATGGGATGAACCATAGAGGAGAAAAAAGGTGGGTGATGCAAAGAATTTTAACCATGGAGAAAACAAATGTAATGTATATTGGAGCCAACATTAATTTTGCAAGTAGGTGTATTTAAGGTTAGTTCACAGTTTAAAAAAAAAAAAAAAAAAAAAAAAAATTCTTAAATATTCTTAAATATTCTTTCCTTACCTCATCTCACTAAATGCTGGCGTTTTGGGAGCCATATCAAAATATTCACGGCCATTATCTATGAGGCTCACTGCATCTTCAAAGTTACGCTGAGCAATGGCTTGATCCAGCTCTTCAGGTAATTCTAACACCCATTCAGGAGGTCCAATGGAAGGTGGCTGTGATTCTTGAAAAGGATTGAGGCTGTCATCTTCTTCAGCAAAAGCTAAAAATGACAGAACATAATTTGAAAAATTAATAAGAAAAATTGAGCCATTAAAAAAAAACAGTATATAAACTCAGATATAAACTCTCCCCTCAAACTTCTTCTAACCAATCTCAACAGAACACATGACCATAACAGAAGACACAGATCACTCTATGATGTTCCCTGTGTCCATCTCACACTATGTAAAAACTAAATGCACATAAAAGGCCCCAAAATTTAAAATTCATTACCTGTGAATACAAAAGAAACACTGTCTGCTTATCAGTTCAAGACTCTTCTTACTAACCCAAAACTAAATAAATACTGAATAACTATTTCACAAATGTATAACCCATGACCCTATCAAACTATGTTTTTAATTGTAATGCTACAAATTTGTACAACTATAATGCTTCATAACTGAAATGTTCAAATTTCATTGTTTAAATACTCAATTGTACTTCATATTGTAAATTGTTTACTGTAATTTTTACCACTGAATCTATCATTGCTTAGTTAATCTTAAGTTAATTTTAAGCCTGCCTATAATGCTCTGCATACAAGGGACTTTTGGCATATACACCCAACTACTATAATTCCTTGTACAACTATGTACCATGTCCAAATAAAAATTATTATTATTATTATTATTATTTTGGGCAAAAAACAAAAAAAAAAAATTAACAAGAAGTCAAGATTAAATAAACTCAAAATTAGGTGAAGGTAATCAGAAGTACTGTATTATATTACCTACTACTATCAGCACATGCAAACTACAAACTATGTGTGTAACATTCCTAAGTCAAATTATGTTTTCAATACAATAATTCTAATGGATCAAAGTAGAATGACATGGAGAGTGTATAAATCTGTAGAGGAAGGAAAGCAGGGTAGGGGTCATCCTCGAAAAGGTTGGAGGGAGGGGGGCAAAGGAGGTTTGTGGGCGAGGGGATTGGACTTCCAGCAAGCATGCGTGAGCGTGTTAGATAGGAGTGAATAGAGGCGAATGGTATTTGGGACCTGACGAGCTGTTGGAGTGTGAGCAGGTTAATATTTAGTGAAGGGATTCAGGGCAACCAGTTATTTTTATATAGCTGGACTCGAGTCCTGGAAATGGGAAGTACAATGCATGACTTTAAAGGAGGGGTTTGGGATATTGGCAGTTTGGAGGGATATGTTGTGTATCTTTATATGTATATGCTTCTAAACTGTTGTATTCTGAGCACCTCTGCAAAAACAGTGATTATGTGTGAGTGAGGTGAAAGTATTGAATGATGAAAGTATTTTCTTTTTGGGGATTTTCTTTCTTTTCTGGGTCACCCTGCCTCAGTGGGAGACAGCTGACTTGCTAAAAAAAAAATTCTGATGTCAAAATATTCACAAATGCATTTTCAATTGTTTGTATTAATAACTTTCTAGTCTAAAAAAAAAATAGTGAAAATTTTTAAAAGCATGCTCAACCAGAATTTCTGGACAAATGGAAAGGATCTAATTAAAATTATTTGTATGTGTGGAAGTTTACTGTACGAAAACAGAACACAATCATAGGGTCCTCCCACAACACATAATGACAGATTTATGAAAGGAAAATATTAAAATGTTATAAGAAAAATCAGGGCACATCACTCACGATTATTACTATCTATGGAATCCTCTTTACTAAGAGACTGCTGTCGTTCCTTCTGGTGTATGTGGGCACGTTCAACTTTTTGCTTATCAACTGTTACTTTGTTAGCCTTAGTGCGTTCTATTTCATCAAGCCAATCTTGCTAAAAAAAAATTATGATTAAATATTACAATTTAAATTAAACAAAAGTATTCAAAAATGCTTGTAAAAAAAAATTATTTTAATTAAAAAGAAGAGGTGGAGACTATCATCCATCCACTAATCACATGATACACTATCATTCAAACATACAATTTTATTATTAGTTATACAACTAGTTTAAGGCAATAATATTAACCTAATTATTTTTCTTACCTTAGACTTTGCAGTTGGTGCCATAAAGACTCGTGTATCAGGAAAGATAAGGACCTTAAAAGCATTTTTGGTATTACCTCGATCTTTAATATTTACAGGTAGAACTTGATCAAGAGGATACAATACTTCAAACTTGTAGCGGACTGGACCACGCCTAAAAAGGGAAAGAATTTTAATGCGATTCTCTCTTATGTATGTTTTTTTTTTTTTTTCCAACAAGTCGGCCGTCTCCCACCAAGGCAGGGTGACCCAAAAAAGAAAGAAAATCCCCAAAAAGAAAATACTTTCATCATCATTCAACACACTCACCCATTATCACTGTTTTTGCAGAGGTGCTCAGAATACAACAGTTTAGAAGCATACACATATAAAGATACACAACATATCCCTCCAAACTGCCAATATCCCACACCCCTCCTTTAACCCTTTGACTGTTTCAGGCCCCTCTCTGAAACTGTCATTCTATGTCGCTCAATTTTTGAAAAAAAAAAAAAATTATTTTTTCTTATGAAATGATAGAGAATCTTTTCCCGATGGTAATGACACCAAAAGTTCGAAATTTGGTCGAAAACTCGTGGAATTATGCTCCCGCGAAGTTAGCGGTCTCGGCGACATATGCGTATCGGCGATTTCGCCGACTTTGAGCCCAATTTTCAGCCAATTCCATTGTTCCAGTTGACCAAACTCATAGCTATTTCTTTAGAACTCCATTTTATCTATCAGCTGAGTACAAGAAACCTCCCATTTACTAATTTGGACTACCCAATATGGTGGTCAGAAACTGGCAATTTGGCCAATTTCACGCAAAATAAAAAAGATGCCAATTTCAAAATAGGGTCCAGAATAAACAAGGTAGACATTCGTGGCACTAAAATAACATATGCTCTGTTCATTAGTCACATCTCTAGGCCCCTCTTATATTATTATTGCTTTCTATTTTGATTTTTTATTCATACAAAAAAATACAAAATTTACTGTTATGCAGACGACTGCATTACTGTAAAAATGGTATAAATAATATCAGTGCACTAGTGAAAGAATATTAGACTCCCCAGTTGACGTGTATTGGACGTGTGGTGTGATTTATTTACTCTTGAACATTGGTAAAAATCGAACATTTCCGCTACTTTGAGCTCAGTTTCAAGGTCGTTTTCATCGTAAAAGTAATGAAAATCATCTCTATTTCTGTAATATGTTTTCCATTTTATCAACTAAGACCATGAAAACGCGAATACAACGATAAATACTATACGAAAATACACCTCAAAGTCGGCGTTTTATTCCAAACAAACGATCAGAGTTTTTTTTTTCTCATTACGCAATGTGTGCTGCAGGATTTTTTTTATGTGGTGCACACTGACCACACAGACCCATTCTCTCACATGTGGGCCTACCAGCTTTCTCCCACTCGATTTGAAGCCGCTAGAATTATTGAGTATATATACGTCAGAAACATTGGCTCGTAAGACGTATTTATACGTCGAAAACAGTCAAAGGGTTAAAGTGCAGGCATTGTACTTCCCATTTCCAGGACTCAAGTCCGACTATATGAAAATAACCGGTTTCCCTGAATCCCTTCACTAAATATTGCCCTGCTCACACTCCAACAGATCGTCAGGTCCCAAGTACCATTCGTCTCCATTCACTCCTATCTAACACGCTCACGCACGCTTGCTGGAAGTCCAAGCCCCTTGCCCACAAAACCTCCTTTACCCCCTCTCTCCAACCCTTTTGAGGACGACCCCTACCCCGCCTTCCTTCCCCTATAGATTTAAATGCTTTCCATGTCATTCTACTTTGATCCATTCTCTCTAAATGACCAAACCACCTCAACAACCCCTCTTCTGCCCTCTGACTAATACTTTTATTAACTCCACACCTTTTCATAATTTCCACACTCCGAATTTTCTGCATAATATTTACAGCACACATTGCCCTTAAACAGGACATCTCCACTGCCTCCAACCGTCTCCTCGCTGCTGCATTTACCACCCAAGCTTCACATCCATATAACAGTGTTGGTACTACTATACTTTCATACATTCCCTTCTTTGCCTCCATAGATAACGTTTTTTGACTCCACATATACCTCAATGCACCACTCACCTTTCTTCCCTCGTCAATTCTATGATTAACCTCATCCTTCATAAATCCATCCGCCGACACTTCAACTCCCAAGTATCTGAAAACATTCACTTCTTCCATACTCCTCCTCCCCAATTTGATATCCAATTTTTTCTTTATCTAATCATTTGATACCTTCATCACCTTACTCTTTTCTATGCTCACTTTCAACTTTCTACCTTTACACACATTCCCAAACTCATCCACTAACCTTTGCAATTTTTCTTTAGAATCTCCCATAAGCACAGTATCATCAGCAAAACGTAACTGTCAATTCCCATTTTGAATTTGATTCCCCAAAATTTAATCCCACCCCTCTCCCGAACACCCTAGCATTTACTTCCTTTACAACCCCATCTATAAATATATTAAACAACCATGGTGACATTACACATCCCTGTCTAAGACCTACTTTTACCGGGAAGTAGTCTCCCTCTCTTCTACACACCCTAACCTGAGCCTCACTATCCTCATAAAAACTCTTTACAGCATTTAATAACTACCACCTATTCCATATACTTGCAACATCTGCCACATTGCTCCTCTATCCACTCTATCATATGCCTTTTCTAAATCCATAAATACAATAAAAACTTCCCTACCTTTATCTAAATACTGTTCACATATATGCTTCAATGTAAACACTTGATCTACACATCCCCTACCCACTCTGAAACCTCCTTGCTCATTCGCAATCCTACATTCTGTCTTACCTCTAATTCTTTCAATTATAACCCTACCATACACTTTTCCTGGTATACTCAGTAAACTTATTCCTCTATAATTTTTACAATCTCTTTTGTCCCCTTTCCCTTTATATAAAGGGACTATACATGCTCTCTGCCAATCCCTAGGTACCTTCCCCTCTTTCATACATTTATTAAACAAAAGTACCAACCACTCCAACACTATATCCCCCCCCCCTGCTTTTAACATTTCTGTCATGATCCCATCAGTTCCAGCTGCTTTACCCCCTTTCATTCTACGTAATGCCTCATGTACCTCCCCCACACTTACATTCTGCTCTTCTTCACTCCTAAAAGATGGTATACCTCCCTGACCAGTGCATGAAATTACTGCCTCTCTTCCTTAACATTTAAAAGTTCCTCAAAATATTCTCGCCATCTACCTAATACCTCCATCTCCCCATCTACTAACTCCCCTACTCTGTTTTTAACTGACAAATCCATACTTTCCCTAGGCTTTCTTAACTTGTTTAACTCACTCCAAAATTTTTTCTTTTTTTCATTAAAATTTCTTGACAGTGCCTCTCCCACTCTATCATCTGCTCTTCTTTTGCACTCTCTCACCACTCTCTTTACCTTTCTTTTACTCTCCATATACTCTGCTCTTCTTATAACACTTCTGCTTTGTAAAAACCTCTCATAAGCTACCTTTTTCTCTTTTATCACACCCTTTACTTCATCATTCCACCAATCACTCCTCTTTCCTCCTACCTCCACCCTCCTATAACCACAAACTTCTGCCCCACATTCTAATACTGCATTTTTAAAACTACAGTGGACCCCCGCATAACGATCACCTCCCAATGCGACCAATTATGTAAGTGTATTTATGTAAGTGCGTTTGTACGTGTATGTTTGGGGGTCTGAAATGGACTAATCTACTTCACAATATTCCTTATGGGAACAAATTCGGTCAGTACTGGCACCTGAACATACTTCTGGAATGAAAAAATATCGTTAACCGGGGTCCACTGTATTCCAACCCTCTTCAACCCCCCCACTACTCATCTTTGCACTAGCCCACCTTTCTGCCAATAGTCGCTTATATCTCACCCGAACTTCCTCCTCCCTTAGTTTATACACTTTCACCTCCCTCTTACTTGTTGTTGCCACCTTCCTCTTTTCCCATCCACCTCTTACTCTAACTGTAGCTACAACTAAATAATGATCCAATATATCAGTTGCCCCTCTATAAACATATACATCCTGGAGCCTACCCATCAACCTTTTATCCACCAATACATAATCTAATAAACTACTTTCATTACGTGCTACATCATACCTTGTATATTTATTTATCCTCTTTTTCATAAAATATGTATTACTTATTACCAAATCTCTTTCTACACATAGCTCAATTAAAGGCTCCCCATTTACATTTACCCCTGGCACCCAAATTTACCTACTACTCCCTCCATAACATTTTTACCCACTTTAGCATTGAAATCCCCAACCACCATTACTCTCACACTTGATTCAAAACTCCCCACGCATTCACTCAACATTTCCCAAAATCTCTCTCTCTCCTCTACACTTCTCTCTTCTCCAGGTGCATACACACTTATTATAACCCACTTTTCACATCCAATCTTTATTTTACTCCACATAATCCTTGAATTAATACATTTATAGTCCCTCTTTTCCTGCCATAGCTTATCCTTCAACATTATTGCTACTCCTTCTTTAGCTCTAACTTTATTTGAAACCCCTGACCTAATCCCATTTATTCCTCTCCATTGAAACTCTCCCACCCCCTTCAGCTTTGTTTCACTTAAAGCCAGGACATCCAGCTTCTTCTCATTCATAACATCCACAATCATCTCTTTCTTATCATTTGCACAACATCCACGCACATTCAGACTTCCTACTTTGACAATTTTCTTCTTCTTATTCTTTTTAGTAATCTTTACAGGAAAAGGGGTTACTAGCCCATTGTTCCCGCCATTTTAGTTGACTTTTACAACACGCATGGCTTACGGAGGAAAGATTCTTATTCCACTTCCCCATGGATATAAAAGGAAAAGCAATAAGACCAAGAACTATTACAATAAAATCAAAGAAAACTCAGATGAGTGTGTATAAATAAATGTGTATATGTATGTGTAGTGTGACCTAAGTGTAAGTAGAAGTAGCAAGACATACCTGTAATCTTGCATATTTATGAGGCAGACAAAAGACATCAGCAATCCTACCATCATGTAAAACAATTACAGGTTTTCGTTTTACACTCACTTGGCAGGACGGTAGTACCTCCCTGGGTGGTTGCTGTCTACCAACCTACTACCATAAGTTAAGATTAAGAGTTAATCTAATTATAGATACAGAAATGAATGAATTACAATACAAAATACAAATACTAAATGAAATACAAAAATTTTGCTGGAAACAAAATAGATCTGTAGTCAAAATAAAAATAAATAAATAAAAATAATTTTATGGATCTTTAGTGTATGGTTCAGCAGGGTTAGACTATACAGAATATATATTACTATAACTTCTATTAAGGGTTGCAAGTTGTGTGTGTCTTTCAGACCTAGATGTACATTTTTATGCTTTAATGACATATGAGAAAAGATCAAGAGTGATGTTAGAAGAAAGCCTACATTAAAACTTAGCATCTTATGGGTAGGGTTAATGCTCCACATTTTCAATTAAATTCTTAAGCGTACAGAACAAAATATGCCAAGAAATGAACGAGTGTTTTAGCAAGTCAGGAGGAAGATGAGACAAAGCCTCTAGAGCAGAGTTTCTAAACATCCCACATTGCATTTCTCCTCAGCAATCCCAGGCTCTTCCAAATCCTCCGCATTCTTTAATCATGACAATTTTTTTTTTTTTTTAACAAGTCGGCCGTCTCCCACCGAGGCATCAATATACAGCTGACCAAACAGCTGATCACACATATCACCACTATATACAATTCTGTGGCTCACAACTAGTTCTGTGTAGATATGAGACAGGTATGAGTATCTGGAGTTTACCTGGAGAGAGTTCCGGGGGTCGACGCCCCCATGGCCTGATCTGTGACCAGGCCTCATGGTGGACCAGCGCCTGATCAACCAGGCTGTTACTGCTGGATGCACACAATCCAACGTACGAGCCACAGCCCGGTTGGTCAGGTACCGACTTTAGGTGCTTGTCCAGTGCCTGCTTGAAGACAGCCAGGGGTCTATTGGTAATCCCCCTTATGTATGCTGGGAGGCAGTTGAACAGTCTCGGGCCCCTGACACTTATTGTATTGTCTCTTAACGTGCTAGTGACACCCCTACTTTTCATTTCATTTCATACATATCCATAAAATCACCCATAGCCATGAAGAATGCCACTATTGACATCCATAATCCTACATTTACCAAACATCCTTCCTCTATAATAGTATAACACACACTCAAATATAACATCCCCACCCCGCCTTCTGGCTGTATTCTCCTCCCTTTCCACCTCCAGGACTGAAGTCAGGTTAACAAAGGTATATGTGTATTAAATTTGAGAAAATTTCAAAATACAACTGAAATACAGTGGAACCTCAAATATCGAACTGCTCCCAGCTCAACCAATTATGTAAGTGTATTTTTGTAAGTGCTTTTATAAGTGTATTTTTGAGGGTCTGAAATGAACTAATCTAATTTACATTATTCTTGATGGGAATAAATTTGTTTGGTAAAGGCACTCAAACAGCCGTCTGGAACTAAGAAAGTTCGATATTCGAGGTTCCACTGTATTAACAAAATAAAAAACACATTGCCAATTATTGTAAAAATGCAGTTATAAATGAGAGTATGCTACAGATAATTTTAATTAAAACTTGTATTGCATTAATATACTTACCTGTCACTTAACCAAGATGCAATCATCAAGGAGTCATTCAGTAGATAACAATGAATTCTTTGCAATGCAGAATAGTCATCTTGGTTAAGCTCTACTAAGTCTCCATCATATACCAAGTAACGATCCTCAACCTCCATCACATGCTACAAGAAATAATAAAGTTAAAAAAAATCCAGTTATACAGAATAAAAATAAGCAGTGAATTTTGTTAAAAATATACTGTCACCAATTTGGACTTTAAAAAGTAGCAATGGGAACCATGACAAATTGTAAAAATCATTCCTACTCCTATTGCTTTCAGGCATTTTTTTCCCTTAAAAATTCTTTACCATTCCATCTTTCACCTTTTTTAAATAATATCTTCAATTCCATTGTTCATATACTGTACTTTATATTGCAGAACTTTGCATAATTCATTTATATCTGTTTATTGTACTAATATTTTATTTCACGTTGTTTCTCTGAAATGCACGTACATTATTATAACAGAATTCTTATGAGAATTGTTATCTATAACTTTCACTGTACAGTGCTACTTACTGAACATCCTTCTATTTTTTCCAAAAGTCCAGTCAACTTTTTCCTATTTTCACGTTCACGTTTTTTTCGCACTTCTTGTGGATTTACTTCTATCATCTCCTGAGCAGCACTGCCTGGGCCTCTTTCTCCTAAACAAATAAAACAAGACAACACACATTCTGTAATTTTATTCACCAAACCAAAAACTATATAAATTTAACCATACCACAGGTAGGGTTTGATCCCAAGGTCAGAGAGTCTCAAAACTCGACGGTCTGGAGTTTTGAGACTCTCTGACCGCAGGATCAAACCCCACCCGTGGTATGGTTTGTTTGCAATCGTGTCATTACAATTTCGTGAGTTATACTATATAAATTTATGCTACCTATCTTATTGATAAGTTGTAAACACGAACAATAACCAGCACCTTGCTCATCAGAATTGCAATTAATATATAAGTACCTGTACTGTAGGTGCTGCAAACTTTGTCCAATTTTGAAAGATTTTTTTAATCTCAAAATTCTGATTTTATTGCTCCTATTTGGTTAAATCTGAATTTCAATTTATGTTCATAGAAAGCCATAAACCTGCATGGATCATTCACTGCTGCATGCCAAAGGATTGGCCAATATGAAAAAGGCAGAAGCAGAAGTATTAAGGGTGAGCACAAGAGCAAAGGTAGATCATTGTTAGTTTAGTAGATCATATTCAGATTATTAAAATTGGTCTGTACTTAAAGAGTAAGTGCTTATCCCATTGATTTACTGAATTCAGAAAAAGAAGGGACAAAGCCAAATACAGTTCTAAATTACTTTAATAATTCTTATAGAATAACTTACCTGCAACTGATAGCTCTAGCAAGGATGTTAAGAGAGATTTCTGCTCTGTAATGAGGTGAGAGAGTTGGTACATCTCACTTTCAAGGTCTGAAGTATAAAAAAGCAAATATTACAATAGTAATAAAGTATTGTCTCTCTTTCTACTCTAAGCTTCTAGGCTCAAAAAATTCCTTTATTTATAAATAAACAGCAGTAATATGTTGCATTTGGTATATAGTTGTAGTGTATGTACTATAATTTTACTTAAGTCCATTACAAACGGGATAAAATACAAAAAAATTACAAAAATAGTTTCAACGTAATGCCGGTGCTTTCAAAGAATATAAAGAAGTTAGTGGAACAATTCACAAATAAAATACACTTTTGAGAAGAAATTTTTGCTAGATGACATTTTGGTTCATCCTGGACTATTATCAAGTCACAACTGAGAAAATGGGAAGGAAATGAGGACAGGGTTTCCCACCCATTTTCTAGCTCAGCTGAAACTTGATAATGGTCCAGGATGAACTGAAATATCAGAAGAACATAAGAAAGGAGAACTGCTGGCCCATGCTAGACAGGTCTAACTCTCACCCACCCACACCCACTCATGCACTTGTCCAACCTATTTTTACAGCTGCCTAAGGTTTTTTTTCACTTCAGTGATGCTACTCAGGAGTTTGTTCCACTTATCCACAACTCTATTACCAAACCATTGTTTGCTTATATTTTTTCTAATTCTTATTTTTTTCAACTTGAGCCCATTGCTGTGAATCCTATCTTGGTTTGATATGTTTAGCATGTTATTTATATCTCCTTTATTTATTCCTGCCTTCCATTTATACACAATAATCATATCCCTCTATGCCTTTTCAGAGAGTGCAGATTCAGTGCCCTCAGTCTATCCACTGAGGAAAGATTTCTGATATATGGGATCAACTTTGTCATCCTGCTCTGTATATTCTCCAGCACATTTATGTCCAGTCTGTAGTAAGTGACCAGAACTGTGCGGTATAATCTAAATGAGGTCTTACCAAAATTTTATAAAGTTAAGTACAACCTGAGGATCCCTATTATTTATACTTTTTCATATGAAGCCAAGAATTCTATTAGCTTTATTGCAAACACTTTGCACTGTTGTCTTGGCATTAGATTACTTAAACAAAACTCCTAAATTTTCTTTTTTTTTCATAGTTTCCTCTCAAAAGTGTGGGTTATTTACAAATATAAATGAGCACACAAATTCCCATGGAAGTCAACTTGAGGGGAAAGTAGGTATAACCTTCTCAGTAGTAGGTATTTTCTCTGGCTACTCATAATAATAGTATAGCAGCATGTTGTCTGATTTATTTTTCTCAATCTCTATATACTATCCTCTTTCAAATGATAACACTTTCCTATTTTTTCCATTAATTTTTTATTTCCTTATGCCTGCAGTTTCATCATCAATAATAAAATTTAAGGATAAAAATGAATGCAGTCAGTTGTTAAAAGTATGTATTTTTGACAAACGACAAAAATTCCTTTAGGGATTGCCTGGAAGATAAGGAGCATAACTGAAAGGACACAGGCTGAATCCAGGACAAGGAATGATAGCCTGTTCCCAGAATAAATATTTACCTGTACCTAGGAGTTAGTCACATGCTGTGAGTTACATCCTAGGGGAGAACCTAAAGACCCCAATAAAAAACAAGTCAAAACAGCTTGGTGTCTTGGATTATCCTGAAATACAGTATTAGCCCTTTAGGGTTACTGATCCAATATATATTATCTTTGTCTACCCACAATATGAAACAAGAGGAAAACTGCAATAAATGTCAAGTGTATCTGCAAGTTTTGCGTTTAAACATGTTGAAAGAAGGATCACAAAAAAGATTAATCTTGATTTTTTATTTAATAAAATTATTTAGTTGCAAAAAATTATTACACATATACATACTGTACCTAAGTAACTGACATGCAAGATAAATCTACATTTTTTAGGTGAACTGAAATAATCTTAGAAAATTAGAGTTTTTATAAAACTGATTACTTACATGATATTTCTTTGGCAGTCTCTATGAACTGCATATAATTCATATACACATTCTTCTTGAGTTGGGCATTGGTTTCTTCAGCCAAATGCTGAATCCTTTGTCTTTGTTGCCTCAACTCCAAATCCCCAACACTACTGTGGCTGAGGTCTTGAACATCTGAATACAAAATGGCAATTCAGAGAAGTTAATGAATAAAAACATATAAAAAAATAAAGAATATACAGTAGACCATTGATTAACACACACTCTATTAACATTTATTTCTGCATTAACACAGTTGAGAAGTTGCGGTATATTTCATTTGAACATGCCATAATTATTACATAACAAATGTAGGGGAAAAATGAGACATGTAGTGGATTCATTCCCCCTCCATCTCACAGCTCACCTACAGGCAAAGCCATTGTCTTACAATGGAAGGCGACCTACTTAATTTACACAACTTCCCTCTCCTCATTCCTGTACATATGCATTTAATACTGCACCCAGCCTTTTCTAGCTAATTGATTTTACTGATTTTTCATATTTTAATCATCCCATCTTGTCTTGGGATGGTAACCATGGCACCCAAGAGGAATGTGAGTGAACCTAGAAGTCCAAAGAAGCATAACCATGAAAATACTAGCGTTTCGAAGAAAATTAAGATAGTAGATAAGCTTAAGTGACATACATGTGATGGAGATGGCATGAGCTTATGGCCTGAATGAGGCATCATTTCATACAGTTAGGAAGAATAAGGCAAAGATACTAGCATGTTCAATGAGTAGCCCATAATTTTCAAAGTCTGTTACACTGAGGGTTGACTGACTGTATGTAGCAGTGGGTAAAAATGGAAAGGGGTAAAGCAGCTGAGATTGATGGGATCAAGACAGAAATGTTAAAAGCAGGTGGGGATATAGTTTTGGAGTGGCTGGTACTTTTATTCAATAAATGTATGAAAGAAGAGAAGGTACTTAAGGGTTGGCAGTGTGTGCATAGTTCCTTCGTAAAAAGGAAAGGGGACAAAAGAGTGTAAAAATTATAGGGGAATAAGCTTGTCGAGTATGCCAGGTAAAGTGTATGGTAATTTTACTGAAAGAATTAAGGTCAACACGGAGAGCAGGAAGAGTAGGGGAAGTGTAGACTAAGTGTTTACACTGAAGCATATAAGTGAACAATACTTAGATAAAGGTAAGGAAGTTTTCATTGCATTCATGGATTTAGAAAAGGCATATGATAAGGTGGATAGGGAAGCAATGTAGCAGATGTTGCAAGTGTATCAAATAGGTGGTAGGTTACTGAAAGCAGTACAGAGCTTTTATGAGGGTAGTGAGGTTCATGTTAGGGTAAGCAGAAGAGAGGGAGATTATGTTCAGTAAAAGTAAGCTTTAGACAGGGATGCATGGTGTTACCATGGTTGTTTAATATCTTTATAGATGGGGTTTTAAGAGAAGTGAATGCTAGGGTGTTGCAGAGATGTGTAGATTAAAATAGGCAGAATCTAATACAACATGGGAGCTGTCACAGTTGATTTCTGCCAATAACTGTACTTTTAGGAGATTTTAAAGAGAAGTTGCAAAAGACTGGCAGACAAATTTGAGAGGGGATGTAAAAGAAGAAAATTAATAGTAAACACAGGAAAGAGCAAGGTGATGAGGGTAATAAATAATTCAGGTAAAGTATTATGGCTGACATGACACTAAATAATAATTTCCATAACAGATAAATATTTTTCCTGTGTAATGGATATGGAAATCTTGCAATAAATGTGCAATGTTAATGGGGTAGTCAGGTAATTTTTGTCAATATTAATTCAAAAATATCATGATACTATATCTAAAAAAATCCTCTCCCAGTGGAAGACATGGGACTAGCCAGCCTTATGTTTTACATTTGTTTTGTCTTTGTTTGTTAGCCATAGCTAACAAACAACTTTGTAAATGTTGTTCTTACCATACTTGTATTTTATGAAAGCAGTGTTTTCTCAAGACAGGCACTGATCTCCACATTAATTTATTTTGCCCTAAAATTAAGGGTACTCAAATACAAGTTATATTTTTGCATAAGAAAAGAACATTGAACATAATAAGACTTGGTTTCTTGTACAAGTGGGCGGGACACCCAACCTCTTCTTAACATTAACACTGGTTACTCTACTCTCTCTTATATAAATTCCTCATATCCTAAACTCTTCATATGCAACAATATGCTGCAAACAGGGCACTTTACTCACATCTCTCAGCATTAAAGTCCTCAGCTGTCAGTTTTTTTACCAACAAGTCCCGCCATGTTGTTGTTGAGTGACGTCACTCACTGGACGTCCCAGTACCATAGTATTATCATTGTTAGTTTATTTTAGGCACAGGTACACATGAGTACAATTATCATATATAGTAACATGTGTGCAACTCCCTCCCCACAAAACAAAAGTCAAAGTGACTTATTTCCATCATCATCATAACCATCAAGGACCCCAATGGAAATGTCACTTGACTTTTTTTTGGGGGGTTAAACTAGGTAATTTACAAATTACTAGGTATGATAATTATATTTATGTGTGTACCTGTATCTAAAGTTACCTACATCATCATCTCCAGTGCTTCAACAACCAGGTGATGAGCATCATGGTCCTACCTAACTTGATGATAAGTGTGCCTGGATATGAGAAGAATAAGTTCATACATGTGGAGGTGTGGACCGAGCTCCCACTGCTGTTTATAACTGCCATCACTACTGAAGAAATGTAAGCTGATGAATGAGCCAATTGTGTAACTTTTGGGTATCTTTAAATGTGGAAACTTTCACCAGCCAGTGGCTTCTTCAGTCCAATACAGAGATGAACAGTGGAAAATGAGTTTGAAGTAATCAGTCCCTCAGTTCAAGGACCCCAATGGAAATAAGTTATTTCTGTCTGATTTTTTGGGTTATCGTATGTAACCTACATGTATGCTGCTATGTATGACGGTTTATGTAACTCTATTTATGTGTACCCAGACCCGAATACACTTAGTCTGGAGTTAGTGTTCAGGTCATCAGTCTTGATAAAAGTACAGTATATGAACGGAGAAGTGTATAAGCCTGTTCTTCACTCATATGCTGAACTTTTATCAATATTGATGACCAGAAAGCATCAGTTCCAAGCTGAGGGACTGATTACCTCAAACTCTTCATCATCCAACGTTCTTCTGTGTTATGGACTGATAAAGCCACTGGGTCTGGCTGGTGAAACATTTCCACAAGTGTCTCGTTCATCAAGACAAAAAATTCTCACCGTTCAACCAATAGGAAAACTTCCCCAAACACCAGAACATTTCATTACTATGTAAGTTTATTCAGGTACAGGTACACATAAATACAGTTACATAAATTATCATACATAGCAGCATATGTGATTACCTAGGACAACCCCCCTCCCTCCCCCCCAAAAATCAGTCAAAATTTACTTATTTATTGTTGTTGCTGAGACTTACAGGGACATTGACAGATTGGTAACGGATCAGCTAGTTCCTATCAGTACTGTTCTACTTTCTTCAAGCTCGTTTGCTAGTTCCTTTCTGACATTGTTTCATGAATTCTGTTTGAAAATCCAAAAATTATATTCAGCATTCTCATTATTTAATGTTTTGTTCTAATACATCAACATTGTCATACATCAAGGTCGTGTTTCACACCCACCGGAGGAACACCGAGCCAATGACAACCACTTTTGAAGGATCCTCTTACCGAGACACTTTCCAAGTTAAGATTTTTGTTTGGATTTTTAACCCTGGAGAGTTAGCCACCCAGGATAACCAAGAAAGTCAGTGTGTCGTTGAGGACGTTTGTCTTATTTCCATTGGGGGACCTTAAATTTTGTCCCCCAGGATGCCACCCACACCAGTCGATTAACACCCAGGTACCTATTTACTTGCTAGGTGAACGGAATAACAGGTGTAAAGAATCAAGACCAATGTTTTCACCCTTGCTGGGGATCGAACCACGGACACTCAACGTGTGAAGCGAGAGCATTGCCTACTAGCTAGCCATACCGAGCATCTCCTCCAGACCATCATCATCAGAAAGGGGGTAAAGGTCGGAGAACGTAAATCGAGCACCATCTGTCAGAACTTAAATTTCCTAACAAATTCTGGACAAATACCCTGACTTCACACGCGGGCTCTGTGGCTAAGTAATTGCAGCATTCGGACTGTTAAATGAGTGGACCACGGTTCGAGCCCCTGTCCAGATCTTAGTTCATTGGGACTTATTCTGGGTATACCCCATACCGAAGAGGGAGTTGAATGATAGCTCTAGGTCTGTTGTGCTGCAGTCAACACATCAGGAGCTAGCAGTGTTTGCAGAATATTGTAAGCTGATAAAAAATAGACCCAGAAGACCAGGAAACAGTGATGCCATCACAATGAATAAATCAATAATCAGTCTGTGACTAATTTCTGTTGGACTCTCCATAATAATAATAATAATTATAAAATAACAATAATCTAGGTAACACTAACTGTGGAAAATATTGTATATATTTTCCAGAAATTCAGTATTTATATGTAAATAGATGGCCATACTGTATTTATAATATTTGTCATAGAAAACGGAAAGCCTGCGTCTGCTCAACACTCGCCATCTTGGTTTTGAATTTGTATTAGAAACGGTGAATGAGGAAGAATTTTTCGTGCTCTAGAGGTTAAAATTGTGCTGACACCTCTCAAATAGGAGGCGAAATTGGTGGATATGCATTCCTGCATAACTTGAGATATCAGGCGACTGGACAAGACAGCTCCAGGAACCTCAGATAAGCTCTCTAGATTTGTGTGTAATTCTGGCCAGCATTATTTTCATAGATTTAGTTAGAGTGAGGTTTTTTGAGTATGATACATATTAATCTCCAGTCAATTGTGAGTGATATTAAGATATATTTTCCTTCTGTTATGTAATTGTGTATATATATATATATAGCAATTTATTATTTTTAATATACAGTCCACAAATTTATATATTTACCAGTATTCCTGGTGTATGTATATTTCATTTAATTAATAGGTCCAGAGCAACTTGTGGATATGACAGTGGTAGGTATCGAAGGGGGACATTTTTTGCGACCTAGGGGTCCCAAATTCCTACTTGTCTATGTAACATTGATAAATAATAATTATCTTTGTTATCATTTACTGTTTATGTACATAATTAGTTACATTCAGATAAATGCAATTTTCCACAATTAATTAGCTCGTTGGTCCTTCGAACCGATGTAATTAGTGAAGTCATTAATTAGTTAATTTTCTTAAACATCCCAGCAATTCCAGGAACAGCTGTTAAAAATTGACCACTGTCTGGAAAATCTTCCAGCTCCTGCACCCAACATCTTGCTCCTGGGGATTTCAACTTAAGGCACCTAAAATGGAGGAATATAGCAAATAATATTGTTGCAGTAATAACACCAGGAGGCAGCTCTGATGAAAACTCCACACTCACACGAGCTTCTAAATCTCTGCACAAAATCAATTTAAACCCGCAAATAATAGAGCCTACTAGACTGGAGAATACACTAGACCTCATCTTCACTAACAATGATGATCTGATAAGAAATGTCACCATATCAAAAACAATATACTCAGATCACAACATAATTGAGGTTCAGACATGTATGCGTGGAGCCCCAGACCGACATAATGAGACTAGTCACGAGGGAGCATTCACTAAATTCAACTTCAATAACAAAAACATAAAGTGGGGCCATAAGGGAACAAGAGGGATTACCAACAGACCCCTGGCAGTCTTCAAGGTGGCACTGGACAAGCACCTAAAGTCGGTTCCTGACCAGCCGGGCTGTGGCGTGTACGTTGGTTTGCGTGCAGCCAGCAGTAACAGCCTGGTTGATAGGCTCTGATCCATCAGGAGGCCTGGTCACAGACCGGGCCGCGGGGGCGTTGACCCCCGGAACTCTCTCCAGGTAAACTCCAGGTAAGTAAACCAAGTCCTAACCGATATATGCTGGGAAGATATACTAAGCAACACAGACCCCAACTTATGCCTAGAACAGATTAACTGGTGGCACTCGATGTATGCCAAGGCTCATTCCTCTAAGAAAAAGGAGGAGTAGATGTAAAATAGAAAGAGACAGGCGCTCCCTTTACAGGTAAAATAAACCAAGTCCTAACCGATAAAAAGCTGGGAAGATATACTGCAAACAGCC